AAAATTTTGACAAAGTAGAATATTTAAAAGAAAAATAATATAAAATATAAAATATATTTTATTGTTATAAATAAAAGTATTTTATTTTATTTTATTATTCTTAAAAATAATAATTGTAGTAGCTTAATATTTTTCAACATTGAATAAACTATTATTTACTATACATAATGATATAATAAAAGTATTTGGTTCAATATTAAGCTATTTATACCACAAACCTAATCATTTTTGGTAAAACACCTAACTTTATATTTAAATAAAGTACCTAATGCTGATGTCAGTTTCAAATGATATTGTATAAAAATAAAATCTGAGATAGAAGGTAAACAGTGAATTTGATACACTAAAATACGGTACATATTGCATTTACTTTTATCAAAAATTTATAGCTTGTAAACCTATATCCTACAGCAGCGATTCCTAAACTTTTTCAGCCTCAAAGTCTCTTTTTAAACATTTTTTTCTCGCAGAGCCTCCAAGCAATATTTAATATTAAATTTTAGTTCTATGAACCATTATATTACACATGATATGAATATAGGAACAAAAATATTATTATTTTATTAATATTTATTAATAAATAAAACAATAGTATTAATAGAACTACAGAAAATAATATTTATTGTTTAAAATTTATGTCTACAAAATGAGAATAAATCTATAATATATATTATATTATAGTTAAATTTATTGAAAAACAGTAGTTTATTAAATAAATGTTATAGGCACACTCTTGAAGTATGTCTTAATGTGAGTAATGTACTTGATTTTTGAGACAAAGTTTATTAATGCCTGGTGTCACAGAAGCCAATTAAAGACACATATAATCTAATAACTGTTTTACTATAAAATTTTTATGATAAAACGAACGGGACTCCTGAGAAACAAATGCCGAGCACAGTTTGGGAATCGCAGTCCTACAGAATCGTTCACCATGATACCAACCACCTAAATATTGCATCAACAATACTTTTTATAGTGATTGGTGCTACTGTTAAGTATGATGTAAAGTAACTATCATTTTTCTTCTTATTGGCAGAATATTTTGATACAAACTGTTTGGTAGTTTTTCCAAAATTACTTTTTAATTTATTCTTCCTTTTCTGTTTGAAAAAATAATCCATGGACAGTATAACTAATGCTTTACTTTGTTAGAACTTAGTTTTAAATTATTGCCATTATTATCTGAAATACCTGAATAAAGCAAAAATAGTTAAATAAGTTAACATTTAATATTTATTCATATTTACAAACTGGTAAAATTTGTTGCTTTTAGACCACTCATACAAATATTTAAATATGAAAATGCATAAATTGTTTTTCTATACTTTTAACAATAAAAAGATATGCCAAGTTAATTATTTCTAGGTTTTCTATTTTTTATAGTTTATCATAAGCATAGAAATTAATTATATACTCAGTCAATAAGACAATTTATTTATAAATTACAGTTCTTATTTTTTTGTATAACAGTTACATAAATGAATTAAATATTTTAATATGAAATATAGGTACTAAGTACTCGTAATTCATTAAATTTATTTGATTTGTTAAGTAACTGTTGATCATTTAATAACTCATAAGGCCATCCAACAATTTCTGGATAGTTATCATTCAGTCTCAAAGATTCTGTTTGAATATTTTCAATAATTAATATACCATTAAAAATTATAAGAATTTTATTAATGTTCAATTTAAGAGTTTTCATAATATTCAAATAGCTCCAAAAAATAAATAAAAATCAAAAACTCATAAGATATATAATTTAAACAGTAACATAGACAATTAAAAATCAATTACATCTAAAAAAAACTGAATATAATAAGTTTCATTGTTTAGTATTCACTTAGTTTTTCAGCTGTTTTATGATTTTCTATGGAATAATTTTTACAAAATATCATTAGAACCAAAATGAAATTCATATATTGTATATAAAGTTAGAGATCTAGGTTTAAAATGTACTTTATTTATTATTTGTATCTGCCTGTTACTGTTTACTAATTCTATCATTTTTCAGTAGTGCAAACACAAAGTATTTTAATAATTTTCTGATTTATGATTTTCTTAACTTATAATTCAACATAGATTAATCATAATGTATTATGCGCAAAATATTATAAAACAAAATTACTTGATATGCTCTTTTTGATTTTAACTCGGAAAAGATTCTACTGTGCGTCTGTACAGTATAATATGTATAATAATAACAAAAAAATATTATGTATGAAAAAAAACTACGATAACGATGAGAACCTAAATGTTTCGTCGATTTAAACTATGTATAAATTATATTTAAAATAAATAATAAATACTGTTAATCAACTAATCAAGTATTTATCAATTATCAATGCTTCTACTTCCACTGGTGACTGGATATAACTGATATACGATATAAGTACTTTTAGGGAAACGGTGTATATTCTTGTAATACCACGTCTCGAGAATATATCACTCACTAGTCTCACTTGAATATATATATATTATAAAAGTGATAAAACAGATTATAATGTGAAATGTATTAGCTTTATCACTTTTCCATCATATAAATTTTAGTGGAGGTATATAATATAGGTGTGTATTATATATATATTATTGTTTCCATAGATAAAAAAAATTAGGATAATATATTTACACTTTTGATAGCCCAAAGGCATTTTTTTTTTATTTGATAATTAAAGTGAAATATAATTTTATTTAGGCAAGAATAAGACCTGTGTGTGTGTGTTGAGTTGGAAATTAATAAACAAACAATAATTTGAAAAATAAAAGTGATATAGTACAATTATTGTCAGTTTTGTGAACCACTAGAGACTATGGCAGTAAAGTTTATAAATTTAAATTATAACTATTATCATTAATATTATATTTTAGTTATAAGTACGTGAAAAAAAAAATAATAGAGTATATTTATGCCAAAATACTTATTATTTTATTAAATTGTTCGAGTGATAAGTATATTATGTTTTTACTTGTGCTATTGAAAAGACTATTATAGGAATATATTGTGTTATATTGACAATCTAAAATACAATATAAACTACCAGTTGAACACTGAATAGACATAAATACATAACTTACAAGTACGACAGCAACTCAACGATTTATGTAGTGATTAATGTTTTGCGTACAAGCAATACAAGATGACATTTGTATTTTCAACTTTATTGTTTTTCTGTTTAAACAATTAGATATTGAAATATAATGTACCTATAATATAATAATAATGATATATAGGTATGTATTAAATAAGAAAAATCTTGTACAGTATTATCAATTATTCAATAAATAATATACAATATTATTTTAATTTATATACTGTTTAAAATGATAACAATAGCTAATTTTTCAAGAACTGGTATTATGTTTCACATTATATAACTAGTTAATTATGTATTGGAAATAATTATTACAATATCTATTTGAATATTTACATTTTAATATTGAATTCAAATTAATTTGCTAATGTAAAATTGTGTTATTAACTTTAAAATAATTATTTGATCATAAAGAATTTGCATTATTAATTTCAGACATTATTTAATTCAAACAACATAATATAGGAAACACTAATGTTAAAATATTAAAGTAAACTTGAAATGGATATAACTGAACTCTGAAGTGAATTTGATGATCAAATTAACTATATGCAATTTTGCAAATAAATAAAAATATCGTAAGATTTTAAAAATCTATACATAGAAAAGATCTGGACTTGACAAAATATTTTAAAAATGATATCCAATTTAATTTTTAAATAAGATTAAGTGTGATTTGAGAACTACAATGCATTATTACCAAGTACTGATTATTTTTCGATAAAAATAATATACGTTTTTATTTTTATAGTTATACAGATCAAAACCCAATGATACAAGAAAAGAAGCAGAATAATAAATATGAATGTCTTCTTCCCTTGAAACATTCACTGCTATTTATTTTTCTTATCTCATATTCTTATTATACTTTGGAATATTAACAAAGCTTAACATTACATTTATTGGGTAAAATTTCATTAAGTATTAATATTCTGTAGAAATAACAAATATTATTTTTGTTTTAATTAAAAACGCAACTAAAGATGATTTTAAGATACACAGCTAAACATTTATATGCATCCAATATGAAATAACTATTTCTTAATTTTACGTTTATACAGAATAGCTTGAAAACGGTCTAGTAATTTTTAAGTCAATATAGGATAAAGAAAAAACATTCATTTAAATACATTTTAATATAAATACATGCAATTTGTTTTTCAATTAAACTGAAAATAAATTATATTAAAATAAATAAAATTGACAATAATTTTATACTATAAACACATATTATGCGCATAATATGTAGTATAATTTTGAATACAAACTTATTATCTGCATAAAATATAAACAATTTTGTACAATTATTGTAATTTAAAATTTAAATTTATGGTTTAACAGATACAGAATGAATTTTAAGCAATTTAAATGCTACTTACTGAATACAGCTTTTTATCCAAATGTGTTTTATTGAGATTGTGTATACTTATTTAATAAATACTTTAAAACCTGTGTTAAGATTGTAATTTGTGGGAGATAAATAATAAAATAATATTATTTATACATTTTTAAAAGGATAAAAATGTGTTTTTATTAAGTTATGAATTATGATTTAAAATGTTAGTAGGTAATAAATTATTAATAGCAGTTTAAGTATAATTATATTTATACATCTCAAATTAATATATTTTTTGAGATCAATTATTTTTAAACATATGTGTTGTAAAAATAAATTTAATTACATTTATTAACATATTTTAAGTAGTTACATACTCAAGAAGAATTGCTCCTTTTTCAAAAATAATACATTTTTTATGTATAGTATAATATAATATTAAATAATAATTATTATATAATATTTAATAGTTGTACAAACCAAAGGTTACATTATGTTGTACATATAAAGAAACAAAAATATTATAAATAATAAGTAAACATAAAAAAGGAAATATTTTTACTGAAAATAAATAATACTAATGAATTAAGTAATGGATAATAAATTTAAAAAAAATATATAGGTATCTAAAATAGTAATATTTAACCACTATCTATCTCCTTTGATCAGTATTTGGTAATTGTTTCACAGCCACTGCTATATCACTTTTGTCCTCATCTACTTATTTACTGTTGCAATGACTCTTGTGAACTACGAGCATTCAACTGAAAAGCATTGACTTCAACATCATTCAATTTCTACAGTAGATCTTGTGTGGAACAATCAGAATCATTGCTGGAAGTGTATCCATGCAACTGAATCAGCTTTTGCTCCTACAAAATTTAAGAAGTATATTATTGTAAATAGGATAAAATGATAAGAAAATCTTTTAATTTATTTAAATTTTGTTTGTTTAGATACTAATGAAATAATTCCCACAATGACATCCATTATTAAAGTATTTAACTAATAATTATACTAAAGTGTAGTAGTATTTACCAGAGGTCTTCACTCATAACCCCCTTTTTTTACCATATATTTTATTATATGACATATGTTAGCTTTGTTAATTATAAAAAAAAAAAAAAAAAACATAAAACAAAAACAAAAACTACACAATTTATATGTATATGCTATTGTAGAAATACAGTAATAACTGAATACATATAAATTTACACTTTTCAAGGTTGTATTAAATTAGTACTACACATAAATAAAAAATTAATGTGATAGGTGCTTCAATATTTGACTTAGACTGTTTTCACAGAATAACTCCCATTTCAGTTCAATTTTATGAAATGCGATTAATTTTTAAGTTATTTTAATTTATTCATCAAGTTTGCTAAGTAAAATGTATATACTTATTATAATTTTATAATATTATTTATCTTTCTTTCAAACAACAGACATATCATAACCAATGAATAAGTTGAAGACCCACAGCTGGAGTATGCTATACACATTACACACATACCGTATCGTAAAATATTTGCTTGGTATCGTTATCAGCTGTTGTGGTTGTTCTAGTGTCGGCATCGTTATCGTTGCAATCATTTGCTATCTGCTGACACTGTTAGAACAGGAAAAAATTCAAGTTATTTTACTTGAAATAATATATCAAAATTTATTAATGCATTAGGTATAAAATATTTGAACCTTTCGTACTATATGCTGGTATGCTTGCTACCTGGTATACTTACTGCTTCTATGATGGTATGATGTCGATCCCCATTTATTTTATGCAGTTTTTGAACCACTTTTTCGTGCTCAGCACGAAGAAGTTCTTTTTCTTCTAATAAATGTTTGGTTGCAATCTCGTGATCTTTAATCGTATTCTCATAATTTTCGCGCAAACCACGTACTTCATCCTGGTGCTCTTTACTCATTTTATTTTTGACTTGGCGCATATTTTGCATCGCAGCTTCATATCGTTGGCTCTGCTCAAAATTAAAATTTCTAAAACCATTTATTAGCATATCGTGCCTCAAATGTATATCTTTGACCATTCTATCATGTTTTATTTGTAAATCATTTAATAACAAATGATAATATGTATGTAAATCCTTAATCTCCAAATCATGTTTCATTTTTAATTCCTCCAACATTACCTGGTGATCCTCTAATAACTTTTTAATTGCATCTAACCCTTTCATTTCGATTTCTGCACGCACACCTTCCAACACAATTTTAAATTCATTGTCAGTCCAATTATTCTTCATCGAAGACTCATATTGCATGCGCATGTTTTCATTTTCTTTGCGTAGATCTTTGATTATCGTATCGTGTTCTTTGCAAAGTTTCTCGTTGTTCTTGACAGAATCTCGATTTGGGATACATTCTTCAATTCGAGTCATTTCAGTGACCACGTTTTGAGATACAGCCTGCTTTAAGTTCTCAAGGTTCGCATAAGATGCATTTGTCTTCGTACTATGTTTGGCCTGCAATTTCTTTAGCTGGATATCACGTTCAGCATTCAACACTTTGTCACTATTAGTTTGTAAAGAATTCGCCGAAGAGTCATTCTCAACACTTAACCTTTTTTTCGTTATTTTAACATTATACTTTTTAGACTTTCTATCATTGATTTGATAACTCTGCAACGATGGTTGTTCATTGAGTACAACTACTGTCTTAGACGATTTAGATAGTGTATTAGTATTTTTATTGATAGCAGGTGTAACGATTCGCTGCTGCAATGGCTTATCCCGTTGACGTTGATTTGATTGATTTTTATTGACATTAGTTTGCTTCTCTTCTAACTGTTGTTCTTTTTCTTTTTTCTCCTGTTGTTTCTTACGATGAATACGTTGACGTTCACGTTTAGATAAAACAGTGATAAAGTTATCTTCTTCCATTTGATGCTCTACTTTTTGGTTTAATTCAGCCTTAATATTGTGAACAATCGTGTCAGATTTGGGCATAATACTCTCACATATCTGCGATAAACAAAAGAAAATATAAATACTTTTTTAAAATAAATGTTTTTAAAATGTTAAAAGTCAATATTTTTATTTATCTTCAAAATATATAAAATTATTTAATGTTTCTTTTGTTATTGTTGTGAAAAATAAAAGTTCACTCGTAATCATCATTCGTGCACACTTAATACTTTTAAAATATAAAAATTATCATTAGTTTATTATACAAAATAAATATATAAAAATAAAATAATAAGCTCACAGAGACAGGTTAACCCAGAATAATTTTTAACTATTATACCGAATTGAAAAGCTAAGTATGCTAAATAATCAAACTCAATAATATTTTTAACAAAATCAAAATTTTATTTATTTTATAAATTTTATTTATGCTCGAAAAAACAAATGAACACGCAACATTTGTACGTTTTTAAATAAGTATAATATATCTAATTTGAAATAATTTATGTGGTGAAACTTTGTGTAATTATTTAAATAAATAAATAATTTAAGTTGTATTATTATTTATTGTTTTTATATATTATATATATGTAATAAAAAAAGATGGCAAGTATAAAATTCGAATCGAATACATTGATTTAATATCATTGTACCTATACCAAGAACAATTCTAAGTGGATTTCTATTGGCTTATATCACTAAGTACATTTTTTTTTATAAAGCTATTAAAGTCATTTATTTTATAGAACGAAAATATTTTATAATTTTTATAAAAAAAAAAAGTAGAAATATTTTCACAATTTTACTATACTTAGAAATTTAGAATACAGAAAAATAAGTTTTTAAATAATAAATTTAATAAGATATTTATTTTACAAGTTTGAATGTCATAATAATATTATTATTATTATTTAAGATGTAGAAGATGACTTTGCTTATTTAATTGAAAATAGCCCTACTGATAATTTTAAATTCACTGATTATATACTTAATAATTATAAATCATCTGATGCCGCTTTTCCACCGATTTTATAGGTAACTGAAGCTGAACCTTCAACAGAAGCAAAAATTTAAAGACTATTAAGTGCGCATCGTGTTGTGTTTTTCAGGTAAAAAGGTTAAGTGCGCAATTATGTTGCACCGATTTCAAACATGTTATTTAACGAACAAAAAAGTCAGATTATAAGTAGCTGAAAACCCGCGGACGCCTTGTCACATATAAGTATACAATATATTCGTTTATTTTAATTATTAATAACTAATAAGTTATTTACTAACTTTATCAGACTAAATTTATGACATTCGCGTGACTATAAGAAACACATAAAAATATCCGATCAAAATTAAACCGATAGTTATCAAGTTTATTTTACACAAAAAATGCGATTACAGCTTTATATATTAGTATATATAGATGTACACAATAATTCAAAAGATTTAATAATATTTATGGTAATATCTATTATACGTAAAAATTGCAATCAAGTTGAGAAAAATTCAGTCACCTTTTGATTTGTTTATAATTTTTCCATCTCTGGAAATTTCGCTATAGTAAGTTAATTTTCCAAGGTTATAGAAGAAAAGTTTTAACAGAAGATGAGAATTTCGATTTTTTCGCGAAGCGACAATCTCTTTCGCTTTAGCCTACTCATCGACATTTGCTCGTCATTTATCCAAAAGTAATCACTGCCTAACAAAACAATCAAAATATTGGAAGCTAAGACATTTATATTTTCGTCATAATCGTCATTAGTCGTTGGAATCTTATCACATCGTTAGATAATGAATACGTTGAACGAATTTATTAATATTATTAAATCTAATGCGAACGCCTTTTGCTATTGGTTGCTATTTTTAATAATAGGTAAAAATAGATGCCTGCTATTCAGAGTGTTCGCTATTCGGAGGTAATCCTATGATAAAGTTGTGAAAATGTCCCAGTTATTATGTCCGTTATTGAGAAATTTCGCTGTGTACAAAAAATTCGCCGTGTTATCGAATAATTTGATGCAGATGACGCATTTTTACATTCCTGACATACAAAGAGTATACCTAAAAAATCACTGGATTCAAACCAAATAATATTTATTGTAGGATGCACCAAAATGCCGATGCCGATGAAGTATGATTTTTAAATGTATTTAGATACAAAATTACAATTTATAGTTTTTGCAAACAAAATATCAAAAAACTTTAGCGCTATTATTTATATTTATATTTAACTTGTTATATTTAATTAAAAAATACTTATTCATTATTCATTTGGATTTCAACCAATCTTATTATATTAAACAAATAAATACAGTGATGTAGTCGTAATTTTTTGTGAGTACCTATACGCTTACCTGTGCTTGGCGATGATAAACGTGGGGCTTCGCTCTCCAACACCTCCCTATCTATTATACTACGTTATTATTATTTTTATATTTATAATTACATAGATACACTATATGTCTATATGTTAATTTTTATGAGTTGTAAAAAAAGTTTGACCAGTTCCTTTTTGTATAAAAGAAAAAAAATGCATTAACGAGTTATTTTAATGTATTATTATTTAACGTATTTATTAATACTTTAAACAAATATAAATGATATGTTTAGCCGAAATTAAGATATAATAATTATACCTATACCAACAGTTTACACGACAAATTTGAAAATAATGATGGAATAAATTTTTACAACTGTTTTGTAAATATAAACCAACAATTAACATCTTAGCAAATATATATATATATATATATCTAATATTTAACAAATATTAAAAATATCGTTGTATTATAAAAATAAAAAATAATATAATTCTATTATAACATTAATTCGACTGCTGAACGTTTGGATACATTGACCTAAAATCCAACACGTTTGGGTACAAATAGACACAATAGTTGGACACAAAATAAAAGGTATTTTATCATTTTACCTGTTAAATCAGAGAACGTTTGGGTACACTTTATAAACACGTGATCTACAATAGTAATATACTTTATTTCCAAACCAATTAATATCAATTACTTATATTATTTTAATTAGTATTAGATGAATATTATCGTAGTATATGCGACTACGAACTTATACGTAATATATGTATTTGTCATCATATAAAAAATAAAATAATTTATGATAAAAAATAAAATAATAAACATTTTTGGGAGACTGTTAAGAGCCAACCTCCTCGCAGTATCTTCTGGGTAACTCTAATAGGTTCTAAAAATAAAGTATAAGAGTAAAAAATTTGCACCTAAACTTTGGTACCCAAACGTAGTGTTATTTTAAAAATATTTTGTTACCCAAACATTGTATGGATTTTTGGGGTCTGAAAAAAAGTGTACCTAAATGTGTGTTCCCAATCGTTCTACCGAATCCCAAGTAAAAATATCGTTTTGTGTCCAAACATGTTACGATCATTAATTCTTTAATTGGAAATACCTAAACGGGAATAGTAATTTCGTTGAAATATTTTTTTTAATCATAACTTTAAAAACATAATTATGACTTTGAATATTTCTAAGCAACGGAAAAATATTAATATATATCTGGTTTAAGTTATTTAAATTTTAAAAATTCTGGTTTAATGAAAGGTTCTTTATAAACTATACTTACAGCAATTTAAAAATATCAAAAATATGCAAAACTCGGCAATATTTAAACGAAATGTGATGGTTTTTTTTAGTTATTTTTGTTGTTGTAATTAAAAAACTATTTTTAACGGAAATTTAAATGTTTACAATTATTATCATAATAATGGAAGATTGTATTCATTTTATTTTTTTACTTACAAACAAAATTATTGTTATACAGAAAATCAGAAAAAAAATAAAAATGTTGAAAATTTCTTGTCTCTAAATAGCATAAAAAGAACCAAAATATTTAGTGAAAATTACAAGCTTTTAAAAGCCATTCATTTTTAATTACAACAAAAACGAAACTTTTTCAAAAACTGTGTTTGTTTAAGAGTCCTGTTTTTCCACTTAATTTTTTTAAATTTTGCTTAGATTATTTTGGAAATAATTAGGAATTTATACGTTTGACTTCCTAATACAAACTAGATACAATAGAATTAGATAGATATAACGTACCTGCAGTCGTGCTGTGTTCGTATTTTTAATATTTTTGTTCTTCAGTTGGACTACAGCGGTGGATGTTGACTTTTTTGGTTTGGACTGCGATGTTTTTACCTCCGCAACATTTCCTCGCCGATAGCCCGTAGACCTACGCCGTAGTTCAGCAGACGCAGCAGCCCATATCAGATAGAAAACTGTGAAGACGTATATTACTACAACGAGCAGTGTCAATACTATCTGCGAGTTTGTTGTTTCAATAGCGGCAGCAATAATCCCATCGAAAGCGCTCATTGTTTAAATTTCTTCGGTGTAGTTTTTCGATTTATATATAATATGTACCTACCAAAAAAGTAGGGTGCAATAAAAAAATAACAATGATTAATACACTGCTATACAATATTGTTATTATATTCTACCTCTCCAGTACAAAATAACCCTAGCTCATCTTGCTGTGAAACCGGTTCATTCTCGACATTCCTTGTGGGCGGTCCACCCCGAACAGGAATTTTTATGACGCGTTTCTCAAAGCGAAGCATAGCAAGAAAACAGAGACAGATGGCTAAACAATGATGGCTGTTCACCCCCGTGGTAGCTCTATATTGTTATTACCACTACAGGTGTTTAGAATGTACGGCACAAGTGTTAGCAGTTATGATATATATTGCTACAAGTTCGATGGCGACGAAAATTATGGTAATATTAATAAATGTTAAGATAATAATATTATATAGAAGAACTCGGACGTAGACTTAATTTGTTAATAATACTTATGTTAAGAGAGTAAAGTGCAAAGCAAAAGAATAATAATGTACCAAATATAATAAAAATAGCTGGTAAATGTAATTAAAAACTATGTAATTAGTAACTAAACATTTATTTTGAATGAATATTATATATTTTTTTTTACATATAATTACAATTATTTACCATATAATACCTTAATAGAAAATAAAATGGATTAAAAATTTGATCGGAGTACAGTAATTACATAGTTATTTAAATTTCATTTGTCGAAATTATTTTATATATTGTGTATAATTATAATATAATAAATTAATAATAATAATATATTATGCTTACTGTAATGATAATTATGACGATGACAAACTAATTATGTATGGCCTGTCTGCTATATGAATATCTTACTACTTGTTGCTACTCAAAAACTGGATGTAATGAATACTGAATCCTGATGTATCCACGGCAAGGTGCTGTGTACTGTGCAATGCGTTGAACAACTCGACGTGCAGGCTATGGAATTCCAACTAAAAAACAATAAAAACGGGTTTTGTGTCTTCGGCTGCCACTTAATTGAACGGTGTTACCAACTCAAAATACAATAATCCTGCACACTTTTTAATAAATATTTTTTTTTTTTAAACTTTTAGTATTAATATTAGCAAGTGCCATTTTCATAATTACTTTTAAATAATATCAAACTATTGCAAGTACCTAGTAAATGAAATAGATTAATATGTATATAACATTATAGATGAAGTCTCTAATAGCATAGCCATAGGTAAATCATATTCAAAAAATGTAGATATCTACAGTGATAGATAACATCTATTACACATTTTGGGTGTAACAAAATAATATTTATGAAATACTTAAAAAGATTTTAACGTGAATTGATCAACTACGCCACTATTAGTGCCCCACACGATTAAAGATAGTATGGATATTGATTACCAAACAAATCCTGATTTAATGGTTATCGAAATATTACGATTATATATATATTATTTAAAATCGTAAAGTTATTAAACTTAAAATTTTAGTAAAAGCGCTTACATGTAAAACATTCACTGCGCGTTAATCCGACAATCGTATGCACTAGCTGCGGTTCAGCTAGCACCGGAATTGGTCCGTTATTGATGCGGCGCGCGAGTTGGTTTTTGTGCGTAATAAACTCCGTTAGCGACTGTGTTGGTGTTTGCCGGACGGACACTATCTCTGTCTGCAGCCGGGCCTGAATATTCATGTTGTTGAATTTTTGCAAAAAGTCAACACGAAATTCGTCCCAAGTGAGGTCCAGTATCCTAATGGTGTTCCACCAGGTACTGGCTGCACCTTTCAGCTGCGGTTCGATAATGCTCGTCCAGCCTGTCCGGTCAATCTGTGTCTTATACAAAATCGATTCGGCCTTATGAATAAACCGTACCGGATCCTCGGGTGTCGTTCCGTGGAACTCCGGCAGCGAGTATCTCACTGTGCGTATCTCGTCATACGGTATAAGTGTCGACTGGTGTGTTGTATAACTATGTGGATTGATGGTGATGTTATTTGCATACGACGCGTTATCGGAGTGTACGGTTCGGTTTGCGTGGTGATTGCCCGCGGCCGGTGTTTCACGTGCCACGGGAATTCTCGCTCCGTATTCCGTATTGACTCCCGCGTGCGTATACGGGTGAGGCTGTGCATTGTGTAACGGCGGTGCTTCCGGTGTGTTCCGGTGTTGTCCTGATAACGCAGCACCTTGTGGTCGGCTAATCTCGGTAGCTTCCGGTTGTTTTTCCGGTGCCGAGCGCGTCATACCCATCTCCAGTCGGCGCATTGTCTCCGCTATACGGCGTTGGTCCTCGCCAAAGCGAGACATGCAGTCCTCTAGCATGGATAGTCGCGACTCCAAGCTGTGCTTGTTCAGCACGCTTTCCGCCGACTGCCGTGCCTCTTTTAATATACTACGGGCTGATAGCATCATATCCGTAGTATGCTGGGCGGTGTATGTGTGTGGTGTGGATGGTGTTTTTGGCGGTACTTGGGCGGGTATAAGGTCATCCATTTGCGTCTCGGTTTGTCCGGCGTTAAACGTCTGACTTCCGTCGGCGTCGTTTCCTGCTGGCCCAATGGTTTCCATGGGTTGGAATCGTATGGAGTTTGCCTGTAGGCCCATCTCCGCGAAATGCTGAGCTAATCGGATTTCGAGTGCATCCTTCGTGCCTGCCTCCGTTAGCCCGCGTTGACTACATTCATAGCGTAACTCCGCAGCGGTCAACTCATTCATATGTTTTCCTGCCATAATGTATAGTCGCGGGTACGTATGTGTGTGTAATCCGGTCGACTATCGCGATTAGGGACGACGGCGGTGCTTTGGGCGGCAGCGGCGGTCCGGTTTTGTGGTGTGTATGCTGGCTACTTGCGTGGTGACGCTGGGCGGGTGGTGGTGCAAAAAGTCTTATCGCGCTCTTGCGTCCTACCTATCCTACTCCCCGTGTGTTTGCAGCGTCGCGCGCGGTAATTTCGGTGCGTCCGTAAATTAGGTGGCGCGGCTATCGTTACGTACTATCTGATTATGTTACGTAACGCCGGTTTTTCCGTAATAGCCTGTGCAAACCACGTTTTTGTCGTGTGGTTTTCGGGAGAAATTTGCAAGTTGCACAATAGGAAAACGATGAGGTAGTAGTATGGGGTAAATATAAAAGTGTTTACTTACCGGTAATTCCTGTTCGGGGAGCCAATTTGATGCGTACCTGGAGGTGGAGTGGGACGGCGGGATGTTGACAGGTAGCAAAAATAAATTAAACACAAGATGTTGGGTTTAAAAAGAGACGGTGGTCGTCGATTTATTGTGTTAATATAAACATTATAAACAACAAAGTAAATGCTGAACACAAGAATATCACGGTGAGAGTGTCACTGTGGTCAAGGGAAAAAGACAAGGTTCACAGTACAGTCGATGGTAACAACCAACGGATGTTATATCGCGTACGGCGTATGGTGAAAAACTCTCACACCGGTCGTCGGATCGGTTCGCGGTATCGGCAGTCAAGACGTTCCGACGCCGTTGATCGTGCGTCGGCGTCGTCCGTCGTCGCTGGCGGTTGGATAGAGAAGTCGTTCCGCGGTTTTCCGCGTAAAGGCCGTTTGAATTCAAACGGAATATTACGCGGGACCGCGTCACTACAAACACAAATATTTCGTAATAAAATATAAAAGAAAAATTAGTAATTAAATAATAGTTTCGTTTATATAGTAATTGAAACATACCAGTACTAGTGCAGTAATTTCTAGCTTTTTAGTGGTGATTTATTTGGATCTACATATTTTTATAAATGAAATAGGAACGATCGATAATGTGCAACCATACAACTATGCAAGTATCTATTAGCTATTCCGTAAGGTTACTATAGTTACTTTGTTAAGTCTCGATTACAAAATTAAATATCTTCTCAATTATTTGACATACGTTCTGCAGGTATATAAAATTTGAAAAAATGGTTGGGACTATAAAATAAGTATATAATATATATCAGTCTATGAAACATATATCATAATAACCATTAAAAAGAAATCTGTGGTGATGGGTTAAATTTATCAAAAGTTCAAACAACTCCAGCATAAATACTTTTACACATAGTTTTATTATTCTATGACATTTTAACACAATCATATATTTATACATATTAAAAAATAAATGTTTATTCTATTGAGTTTATTATTTATTTATACCTATATGATCGGTGGTCGCCATAATTAAAGATCCTTACCAACCTTTATTAGGTTCCTGTAATTTAATAAAATATTACTTACATGGTTATTATTTATCATTTTAAAGGAATAGAATGATCTTTATACACAGATAACAATTAAAATAAATTCAAATAACTCACCACGTACAACAATGAGCATAGGTGCTAGCTCAAAATAATTTCCCGTGTATCCTAACGCGTGAATACAGAGTATACGTGATAGTGTGATACAAATCAAATGTGTGAAAAGCATTAAAAGCATTTGTTAAAAACTTAGTTAATTAATTACCCATCTTTATCAACACACATCTCAAAGCTTGTTAAAACGTGCTACATTATTTAAATAATTATATACATACCTATATTAATATGTAAATGAGCGCAGTGTCAAACACAGTGATTACTAAAAGTTTCCAAAGCCTTCTATACCACTATCTATTATTTTTAATAAATCCCTTTTAACTGGTATATATCTCTCAACTTTAAAAAAATGTAGTGTCACTATTATTTAAAGGAGGTAACAAATTATTGAGTGGAAATTATAGATCAATTTCTTTGTCATTAACATTATCTAAAATTTTCGAAAAATGCATAAAAAATAGAATGCTCAACTTCTTAAATAAAAATTTATTTTTTTCTAAAAATCAATTTGATTTTATAGTTTTAAAAAAGATTTATCTACTGAACATTCTCTTTTTAGGTTGATAATTTTGTATGGAAAAATATTAATAACAATTTTAAAGTAATGGGAATCTTCTTAGACATACATAAAGCTTTCAATAGTGTGAGTCATGAAATATTACTTATAAATTAAACATGATAGGTATACATGAAATACCAAATAATCTAATTAAATCATTTTTAAATGATAGAATTTAAAAAAAAAAATCATCGTAATATATCTTGTGGTGTACTATTTACTATATTTATCAACGATCTCCTTAAAATTAAAATAAATAACAACACGAAATTAATAAGTTTTTCTGATGATAAATGATGGTTATACTAATATCTAAACAAACTATGGGATGCCTTATACACCGAAGTGATAAAAAGTTTAAATATGATGTATGTTTAGTTTTGTAAAAACAAGTTTGAGGTAAATCTAATTCAGTCAAAATTCATTTGTTTTGAATCGAAAGATTCAAATATTTAAATAAATAAAAATTTAATAATACATTCATTAAATTGTATATCAACTTTAAATAATAATATGTGTAATCTAAAATATATTAAGCTAGAACATGTTAAAGAAATAAAATACCTTGGTATAATTTTATATTACAAATTAAAATGGAATAAACATATATAAATAATATCTTAGGCAAATTTTTTTACCTATATTTAAAGAAGCTAGATATATTTTTAATAATTAATATAAAAAGGTAATATCTTTTTAACATTAATACAATATACATACACATATTGTATATCAATCTGGAAATATACTTTTAATAATCTTTTGTCCTGTCTATAATTTATTTGTTTTAATTCAATTGTATAAACATAAATATTTAATTCCACAAGTTGATCATAAACATAGCACTAGATGTAAGAAAAATATTAATGTAAATATACCAATTGTTAATAAAAAGTATTTGGTAATAGTGACAATAGTGTTTTACATATCGGTCTAAATTCATGTTATTCTTTAAATATTAATAATGATCACTTTAGTTTTGAGTTGTTTAAAATAAAATATGTGAAACACATAAATCTATCTAATATTTAAGAATTTTTTTTTTTTTGTTTACAAATTAGTGATAAGTATTTAATTTGTTTAGATTTTTATTCTTAGAAATACTCAAAATATTATTTTTTACCTACTTCTTAAATTGTAAATGACGTTTACTAATTTTTAAATTTTTCTCTTGTGTATTCAAAATGTATAAGAATGGATCCCTCGGTACAGGCTCAGTTTTTATTGGGTGCTGCAATATTTTAATACACTAAAAATTTCATATATGTATGTATATTATAGTTGCAAATATATTATAATTATTTGTGCTTATTAATAATTAATACTGAACTAAGTAAGTGCTCTCATGGCATTAACAAAATAAAACAAACATATTTTAAATTAAACAGCCAGGGATCCCCAATTTAACCCAATATTTGACGACTGCGTGTGTATTCAACTATTGTGTACAATTTGTCACTTAACACAAAATGTGCCTTTCTAGGCTTTAAGTTTTTATCAAGTGCTTTTAAGTTTTAATATTATACAACATTAATGTTGTACAAACATATGGTCTGTATCTACGCGTTAGAATCCACAGTGTTATTACGTAGTAAGTTATTTGAATATATTAATAATTTAATTATAATCTATACAATATACTGATCATTCTATTCCAGGGGTGGCCAATAGATCGTTGTAACTTCCCTTCAAATTTCCTGAAGTTTAGGATTTTTTTCAGAAAACAAATAAAATATTATTTTTTTTTTTGTAAATTTGTGTATTTTTGTTCAACCAACGAATATAAAAATTAGATTTAGAAAAAGCATTAAATAATCAACAAATCTCTTAGGACATCTTTTATAGTTTTATGCAGATACCTATTGATCTAAACTAATCATATTATATGGTACTTACCTATTAAATAATTTGTGCAAAAATTATTCATAAGAGTATTGTTGTTTGAAATTAAAAAAAAAATATATTAATTGGGAATTATATCATTGGAAAAATGATCAGTTCGAATAATAAATACAAGGTTGGTAATAAACTGGAAGAAAAGTTAATGAAAAAAAAAACATTGGAAGAATAGTAGCGATCCCGTTGATAATGGTTGTTTCCATACCAATATACAACAAAAAGAGACATTTGTAAACCATCCTCCTCTTTCTTCCTATCATTAGCCGACGCTAATCTATTCTGTATTATATTACAAACATTCCAAACCAGTAACCACTAACCAGTGGGCAGTGACGCAGTAATTATTCATATTCCATATTGTAGTCATAGGTTAGTTTTAGTAGTTTTACCGTAACCGCAAGGCACCAAGTACAATATCAATGTAATTTTCTAATAGAAGTACTAATTTTGTTATAATATCTTGGTCGTAAGGCTATATGTACGATAAGCCGACATAATATATGAACATTTAAAATTTCTCTAATGCTCAATGCTCGTGGTTTTAAATCACAAGTTATAATATCAATACCACCGTTTTTAAGATTTCACACACGTGAGGACCAGCAAGTAGTTCAACATTCGTAACTGTAAATAATTGTAAGTAAATAATATTTGTATTTTGTTAACTAATAAGTATTTATTACTGACGTTTGACAATAGTGATATCAAAAAGGGTGTTAGTAAGTTAATCATCACTCGTCTCTTACTAGACACCAAAAGCAAAACAAGTAAATTTTAATAATTTAAATACTTACTTATAAGATAATATAACCAATAAGTAACATATTCTTCTTTTTCGATTGTAGAATAACATTTTTTTATTTATAAAATTTAATATATTGTTATAAAAAACATAGATATGCAATAATGTTAAAAAACCACTTTATAGTAAGATAAGGAAATGTATTAATTTAAATCACAAAAGTATCTTCAATTAGAATAACGCAGTGTTAATATGTGACAATATGTGTAACAATAACTGATAAGTACAAAGAATATTTTTACTTTGAAAAATACTCTTATCCTAATCTCAATGATGGAAATGGACTATACATATCAAATAAAATTGATATTAAGGTTAATACATAATAATAAAATTACACGATAAATCATAAGATATTACATATTTGTTTATAATTTATTGTCAGTAGATTTTTTTTTATTTATTTCAGCCAAATATATTATAATTACTTAATTACAATAAATTACATTAATAATAGCTAATACATACACCAACTGAGTTATAAGCTCGTATTTGAGTTCATGGATATTATAATAATTAATAAGTTTTATAGTAAAATACTTAAACTATTAAAAATATGATCGCAAATAAAATATAGTAGATAGTAACAAAATTAACATTTGCATCACATAAGGATAAGATAGGTATTAAATTTAAACATATTGATTTTTTAGAATATTATTAATACACTCATTCTCATCAAGTTCATTGCTTACCTTTTTTATTTGATATTAATTAATTATATCATTGGTATTAATAAATTGACTTTCACATAGATTTTTTATCAGATTTTCTTAGGTATTTACATTGTTAAATACAAAAAAATATATTTCTATACTTGAATAATTCTCCCAATTGATAATTAGAAGGAAGGGAGTACACTACTTTTACCATATTTTTTTGAATAATATTCTATGTATTAATATCTGTTCTATTTCTGTTCTATTCTTCCCCAACTTGTTATACGATATAATAGAATTGGATTACACAATGCTATGTATATTTGTTTTTTACTTGATTTATCAAAAAAAACTTTGTAGAAAAAAACAGTTATGCTCATCAGTTTATTTTTAATATTCTGTTTATGTTCTGATTAGTTGTAATAATATTATACATATGATAGATAATATTACATGTTTCATAATATTGCAGATGAATGAACCATAATATCTTAAAGTTACAGTATTGATTTTATAATTAATATTTTATGATAAAATAGCATAAGTATACTTGATTATGTATAGGGTTAATATTTTTAACATTTTATGTTTAGCACTATCTTATTTTATCAAGATGACTAATTATTCATTAATTGAACATAAATTGCGTCTATTTGTATTCTTGGGAAACAAAACTTCAACATATGTTCCTTCACTTAACCTTACACCATTTTGGGAACATAAATATGGACAAGATTTTAAAATCACTGGTATAAAATTGATTGAAAACATAATTATAAAAAATAAAACTGAAGATATTAATTCTATTATTCCAATAATCTCAAAGGTTTGTTTCTATTACAATTATTATAAAAAATAAAATATTAATAATTTTATTTAATTTTAGATAGAAAAAGAAAAAAATCTTCAACATTATAAGTATTTAATTTATTTATTGGCCGTATGTGCAAAGTTTAATTTGAAGAATAATTGTCAACAAATGATGACTGATGCTAATGAAATGGTTTTAACCATTTGCACAGATGGATTGAAATTATTCATGTTCTATAAATTTTGTAATATTGTTAATAAGATTCTCTTTGAAAGAGGTAATTCTTTCTAGTATAATATAATTATATATTAAAATAATAATTGTAGATTTTTTTCCAGGACATATACCTACAGAATCTTCAGGTTTTAGTAGAACCATTCGATTGACAATTCAAAAATGGTATCTCAATAGAGTAGCTCTTGAAACAATTAAATCTATAATGAACCATATGAGCTATGATGGCATTAATCACAAACAAATTATGTACACGATTCATCTTCATTCAGATGACCCAAGTAATTAGCAAATCATTGTTATATAATTATATAATTTATATGTTTGAATATATTATAGGTCATGTCATTTACATTACTTATATATTGTATGGTATAAAAAAAATGATTAAAGTATTTGAACCAAAATTACTGATAAAAGATAATGACTGTGAAAGGCAAAAAATATCAAAAATACAACAACGATGGGTATACGATTATATCATAACAATGCATAGTCTACTTTATTCAACTAATTACCAATTGACAAATGATTTGAAATTGAATAGTGTGGGGAAAGATTACGAAATTGTAGCTGCAGTTCCTAAAGTCATTACATTACAACCAGAACAAAATTTATCAACTGATTTAATGAAAATAACTTTAGATGTATTAATATAATTTTAACTTTAATTATTAAAATAATGTAGAATTGTTAAAACTATTATTCATTTTTTAGAGCTTAAATCCATCAAGTTACCGGTTATTAATAGCTTATGACAGTCGAAATTATATGAATTCTCTTATCTGTAATTATAAACATACAAGATTTCTCAAAGCTGTTGAGGCCGTTACGTTGATTATACAATCAATAATTTACCCAAATCAATTAAAAGCTAACAGCATACCTACAATATGTGCTTTATCCAATACAGATAAATTTAAAATGATTGATATTGATTATGAAAAAGTATTGGCAACATCATCCTTAAAAAATAATTTGTTCAGACAGGTGAGTTATTTATTTATTTTTATTAAATTATATAGTATTGACTTAAATTTCTTTTTCAGTCCCTAAAAGATCATAAAGAAACTACTCAAGTTCAAAATATTAAACCATTAAGTACTCTCGATTGGTCTATGAGTTGTAACCAAATGTATGATGTATTTCTGTTTATGGGCACTAATAACATGGATTTAAAAAATATAAAAAAAGCCAAGAAAGAATATGAAGCATATTTTTCAAACACAAAAATTAAGTATGTTTTTGTAGATGCTGATAAACTAATTAGATTTTGGACTTTTTACTTAGAAATTCCTATAATCCTATACATCAAATTTTCAAATATTGGAATATCATAACGCTTGCTCAAATATTCATATTTTTTTGATACATTTTCCTGCTTAATTAAGTCTATTAGTCAGAATTTTATGATTTTAATTATTTATTATAAATGAGTAAAATTAAGATATCTAGATCCATAATATATAGAAATATAGAACCAAAAAGTAAATATTTTTGATTGCATAGTGCATATTCTTAGAAATAAAAATTTTTAGTTTTTTTGCAGTATGTTTTTGAATATTGTCCAAATTGTATGTAGAGTAATAAGCATATAAAACATCATATTGGTCGAAGAAAACTAATTGTTTTTATTTATTAGATAACAATGAGAAACATAAGTTTTCATACTCTTTTTCAAAAGTGCATATTGATCAAATAGTAAAGAACTTTATACATAAAATTTTTAAAAAATCAAGAATATTATTGAAACTTCTTGATTTATGATAAATTGCTTTTATCTTATCAAAATATGCTTATTTTTATAATAATTTTTAATTGTAAGCTAAAAATATTATCTTACTTAATAATTAATTAGTTTAGTTGATAAATTATCAATTTTTGATCAAAAATTTTTTTCCAGGATTATTATTTGTTGTTTAAAAGGATACTATTCTGAACAAAACAATTTTAGTCGTGATGGTATGTTTTTTATAAGTGGCTTTGACGAAAATATTGGAGAACTCATTGAATTATTTATAAATAACATATTTTAAACACTCATGCAGAATATACAGTAGTTGCTGCTTATTTTTGACTCGCGTTAATACTCAAATACTCTGTCCTAAAGTGAAACTGGTATTTGAATAAAAGTATAACTATTTTTAGAATACAAGTATCTATTTTTATGTATCTTAACTTTAAATATTGTTACAATTCTATGGTAGTTGCGTGTATAAATTATATTTTGAACCTTACAAAAATTATGTTTTAATTTTTAAACTCTTGCTTATTTATTGGTTTTTCAGTTTACTAAAAATATAATATTCTTACATCATATAATTTATCATTAACAAACTATTTTTGGTTTAGTAGACGAACCATTACAACCTCATTCCTACAAGATAACAGTTGTGTTATAGTAATTATTTTGATAAAAGAGAAAAAATAATTTGAAAGAAAGTCTATTATTGTTTTGTATTTAATTACATTTTCAATATATTACTCAAAAATGTATTCAAAATATTGCTTTAAAATCAGGGCATGCAAAGGTTATATTTGACAAAAAACAATTGAAATTTGTTGATGTAATTATAATTAAATAAATTAAAAAAATAATTAAATAACACAAAACAAAACATAACAATTAACAAAATATAAAATATATCATAAAAAAAAAAAAAAATGTATTTCAATTATTTAATTAATTAATAAAAATTTTAATTCTGAATAACAATAAACGCAGAATGTGTATAACATTTTAATTGTAAATAACGTATAACAAAATTTTTATTTCAAATGCAAGCCTTGTTTAAAATATATTTTATATGATTGATTTTGAATATTCAATGTATTGTTAAATATTTATATTATTAGTGTTTGATGAAAACAAAATATTTATCTATGATTAAGTAATAAAAATATTTTTATTATTTTGTACATACTCACTAAAATTATGCTATTGTCTATTCAAGTATAAAGATAAAATGTATAATATAGCACACGTATTGATTTATAGTTTAATTTTGTGTTGTATACTTAAAGTAATATTTAATTTTTAATTATTTTAGTGTATTATTAATAATTTAGTTATAAACAAATTTAACAATTTAGGACTAAATATGGATTTTTTTTTTTATAGAGGACATAATAGTTAATCTGAAAAGTCCTAATACTAAACGATATTATTCTGAATGAAGTTAACAGTTATGACAATATTTTTGTAAAATATAAAATTATATTTAATAATTTGTTTTGCTGATGACATGGTAATATTATTCCATAAAAAATTAATAAAACTTTTAACTTATTTAAATCATGGTTTGACAATAATTTACTTGAACTAAACTTAAATAAACAAAATATTAATATAAATAGCAATTTGAAAAAAAAATGTATCATTCTTTATAATGCTTAGCAACTAATAAATTAAATTGCTTATATAAAAGCATAGGAAAAGTAACTAATTTATAAATATTTTTTTATCTTTCAAAACATAAAAACTATACCTAAAAAAAACTAATAAAGAATAATAGATATTTCACTTGTGCAATTGATTATCTCTTATAGTATTGACGTTTGAGGCTACACTTATAATATACATTTAAACATATTGAAAAAAAAAATACTTATTAAACTATTTATATTTATACTGAAATTAATTAGTAGTTCTTATACTGATTTTGTATATAATGAGCTTATTTTATTTTATATTAATAATTTATTTAAAAATTTCTGTTCCAATTTATATACATATAAGCATAGAAATATTATTTTACTGTGAAAATATAATTTTATTACTATATATATACACACATATATATAAATGTTAACTTAGTTAAAATTCTATAAATCATTTAGTTTCAAGAGTTTGTTTATCACTGCTACTATTTTATGTATGCATTTAAAAATTTATATTAAATTGCTTAAAAATTATAATCTAAATATTTTTAAACATAATATAATAGTGTTGTTAATTCAAAATATATGGTACCATAATGTAAACCATATAAAGTTGTAGTTGGATGAGGTAAAAATATCCTGAATTACTAAGGGTGTTGAATTTTCAAAACTTTGTTTTATTCTAAAATTAATCTTATTTTCAAGTTTCTTCTATATATTATAGTTTATCTAACATAAGCTTATTTATTGTTATCAAAATTATTACTGTTAATTAAATTTTTCTTCTTATTTTATTAAATCGTGTTTAAGTATTATTATAATCTAATGTTTCAATCCTAATATAAGAACTATATCTCTAACACATATTCATTTTAAAGGAGGTGTGTAAAAATTATTGTTTTGTATTATGTTACTTGTAATATCTTTTTAAATAAATTAATAAGTGAAAAATAATAAATATTTTACACATTTTTCTATATTTTATCTATAATTTATAAGTTATAATACTAACTGTTGTAAATTGAATTAATTCTGTAAATAAAATACCTAATAATAATTTATATTTATCCATAAAATTAAAATAATTTTTGTATAAAATAACTAAAAATATATACAAAAATACAATAAAATGAATTATTTATATATATTTATTAGAATTCATAGATAACTCAGATTTGAAGAACTAGTTATTTTACTGAAATAATAATATTTATGTCAATTCTTCACTTGATAGAAATATAATGATGTATACTAAACATAGAGAAAGTTTAGACTATCTAAGCTCAAAATTGTCTTTCAATATTTACAATAATTTATCATTGAATTTAAATTTAACACAATAACCTACTCAATGACAAGGTACAATCAACATCAACTATACAGCACAGTGATAACTTATTTTATGGCTTTCTTAATATATTCTTCAACTATATTACTAACTACCAACCAACTACATTACAACTATAAAAATAAATATATTATATTATAACTAAATTAGAACAATTTTGTGTAGCACCTATATAAAATAAATTAAAATAATAATAAACATACATTTTTTTAACAACTAATAGTACTAAAAACACTAAAAAAATACTTATGCAAATTATGTTAATACTGTAAACCTTTATAACAAAAAAAACATTTTTTAATTAATGAATTAATTTGATAATATATTTTTTTTAGCTTTTGGATAAGGTTCTTAAACATAAGATATTATAATTATAATTTGAATAAACATGAATTAGGCAATAGATAAATACTGTGTTTCACTTCAAAGATTTATTGATTTTTACAAAACCTAACTTCATTCAGTATTAATGTGTATGTATTTAATAATACCGAATATTTTAAAAACTCATATTATTTCATAATTTATAATTACAAATGTTTGTAAGAATAATTGAAAAAGTATATTTCTTTCAGTAATCTAAACATTTCTTTAAAATTAACCTTTTTTGTGACTTCCTAATTGAACACTTGATTTATAATTAAAAAGTTCTTGATTTTCATAACCTAGGCATTTAAAAAACTAGACCTTTAAACAAAGTTTGGATCTCAAATCTTACTCATTACTTAGTCATGAATTAAATTACATTACAAAAAGTAAATGGTAAGACAAATATTTTAGAGTATGTTAGTGAACTATATTTTGTTTTTGACCCATATATATATATAATACAGCAAATTTATGTTTAATCAAACCAGTCATGCACTAGTAACTGAAGTATTTAAGTGAATAGTTAACCTATTACAAAACATATAGTTAAACATATTATCTGTCTTTGTATGCATGTTGACTTTTTCAATTTTAAAACGAAATATTAGTATTTTTAATCTATACATAATTTATAATTTTGAACTATGGTCTATGAATATTTTACTTACTAATTATATTTGCATAACAATTTGCACACAGATAATATTCTTGACTTGATTGTCATAATAACCATAGATAACTAATAAGTTATCGAATTTAATATCTGTTACAGTCGCAAAGAAAATAAAATATAGATAGTATATCGACCACAAATATGTAAATTGTATATATCTGTGATATCGACTGCTGATCATAAACACTTATAACACGAGAGAATAAAATATATATTATTATACTATCGATAACTACTAATATAAAGTATTATATCTGTGTTAATGGCATCTTCTAAATAACATAATCTCGACATGTTCCTAATGCATTTTGTCACACATCTGAAACATATTATATTTTTAAAATAATATGCCTGTGCAGTGTGGACTATGATGAGATATGAAAAGCTAGGGAAAATATTGTGTTATCATAGAATATTCAATGATAAAATCAATGAGATAGAATAGATAGATATGTAATAAACATAGTTAATATCTATGGTAATAAAGATTAAAGAATAAACTCTTTAGTCTTTACTACATATACTTCCATTATACAGATTCTATAGAATATGCCGAGTATGAGTAAAACAAAAATTAATTAAATAAAAATAAAATTGATATTGATGAGTGTTACAAAAATTGGATTAACTAAAATCTTGTAGCATTTCATTAATAATTACACTTTGGATCAGAGAACATTAATTGTGTACCTTAACGTAACAATACGCTAATTTCATGTAATTCAAATAATTTTCATATCACATGCATACCTTTATTTTTTTTTTGCTATTTATTCAGATTCCTTGTGGAAATGATTCTGTTTTACGAACAATCTTGGATTTTTCCTTGATTTCATTATTTTAAACTGAAATAAAGTGGAAATAACACGGCATTTTAACTAGTAACTACTAAATAACTACTTACTGAAGTATAAAACCACTTTACTGTAAATAAAATAATGTATAGTAACTAGTAGGGGCGGGCGTAGGGCATAAGCTGCAGTGCATATTATTATGACAATCATTATTGACCAAAACATAGAGTACTCTATAAACCAAAAATAGAGATATCAAATATTTCTTTGCACAACAAAATAGTCCATCTTCCCGTTCTATAATCTATAAAGTTTGGTTACTACCCACACTGGTCGCGCCATTGTTATCATAATATATTATCGTATCTTATCATCTGAATGTCTAGTTTGATATCATGTTGTCATTAGTCATTATCATTCGCTACAAAATTTATTGAAGTATTATAATATATATTTATATATATTATAGATATTGACATAATACCTGCACGTCCCTCACACCGACACACCGGCTCTTTACTCTTGAATCTCTTACCAGTTCCTGAAGTCCCTATTCAGTTAGTGAAGTTCAACAGACGTGTCTAATTAAGTTCTTTATCGCCAAGCGGAATTGTGTGGGGCCAGTCGATACAACAAGACATACGAACAGTACGCATGTCAATCCAAAATCTCAACGTTTTTGGTGAGTACAAATTAGGATTGCACATGAGGTTGTGATCATAAACACTTTCCTTAGTGGTTTACGAGTGAAACGCCGTGAACTGTAGACACGTGCTATTCCTACGTAGGAATGTACTTTCATTTACTACAGGAAATGTTCGTCGCGTGTTACCAACATAAGGCTTGCAAGCATGTTTATGGGTGTTGCTTTTGTTTTGGGTACACCTGTTGGCATGTTTTCACGGCTAAGCTCTACGGTATTGCATGTAATGTGTTCTTATGCAGTCCCCAAAATAAACGAGAGCAAATCTTAAGTAATCAACTAATCTTCATCTTTGGTAGCCACTATTTACATGAATATTTTTCCTCGTTGGTTTTATATTGTTTCCTTGTTGTGGGTCGTAGGTGTTGGACGTCAATTGATATTATTTATTTTTAGTCACATTCACCTGGTTCTACTTGATGCATTTTATTAAACCCTGTCAAACCGTCTACTATTATGAAACATGTATGTGTATGTTAATATAAAATCTTTGATTTAATCATTATACATCTACTGACTAGACTGAACCATTAAAGCTTTTAGATTTCATTGTGTATACTTAGTCCTGTCTATTAGACTCATAAGATGATGCTATATTCATATATGTTGTCCTTGTCTTACAAATAAACAGCATAGCAAATTTGCTTTCAGTTGAATCAATTTTGTATTGTTAATTTTAAAATTAGAACAAATTGATCTATTGTCAAACTTAAACGCCAGAAACATTATCTGATATACTTTGTTGGATTTTTTTTAATGTTTTAATTTTTTAAGTTACTTATAAGCATTTTCATATTTTAGTATTATACATACTCATTATTTGCTTAAAAATCCAAATGTTGTAAAAAGCTGACAAGGAATAACAAGTGATGTTCTCACCTTAAAGTTTGATTATAGGTCAATTGGCTTGAGTATTAAAGTTAACAACATTTAATCGGTTCTAGTGAAAACAAGTTTGCTATGTTGTACATTTGTAAGACGGATACAACACATGTGGGTGTAGCATCCTTTTAACAATTTCTTAATGTTCTAAACTTTGATCTCGATTATAATTATCTAAAGCTGAAACTATGTTAAGTTTCTCATGTTATTTTTTTAAATGTAATTTGTAGATAATTTAGGGTTAACTCTAAAATACAATTAAAATTACTTACTACCTATATTTTTCTATTCTTATTTAATTTGTTATCAATTTATTTATTTTTGTAAATTTAACTATAAATATCCAAAATAAATAATCAGTATATGTTTTTACATAATGATACTGTATATATGCAGTCTTACGAGAAAAAAAATCGTGGATGATTCATTGAACACTGAGTTTACTGGAAAGAGTTTTTTTTGCATATTTGAGAATATTTCATTGGTTATAGAATAATTAGCATGTTTAATATATTTTGGAATATTTGGTCCATTTTGAGAAATACCAGTTTTGTATAATTTCAATAAAAAGTAGGTATCTGGAAAAAAATTTTTGGATAATTACTATAATTTTTTTTGTATAATTTTGGTAAAAAAAAAACATGCAATAGTAATATTTTTATTAAGAAGAATTTTTAGATGTTTATTTACCACCTAAACCAGTCTTACTAGATTGGAAACAAGGCTTAAAACACTATGATTCTTAATACTGACCATTTCTTAGGGATAAAAACTGTTATTATTTAGATAATGCAAGATTTGCAGTTTTTTTTAAAGAATATAAGCATCATATTTTAGGCATATTCAAAGAACATAAATGTAGACCCTAATGATCAGATATCATTTAGAGTTTTATAATTTTTTTTTTTTTTATGTATATATATACTCCTATATATTATTTTGATATAATTTTTTCAAAATTTATTAGTTGATACATACATTATATGGTCTATTTAATTACACTCATATCATTTTGATTATTTTTATAATAATTGGTTACAAGTTTTACTTAAAAATAACTTATTGTTGATATTTTATTTTTAAGACCCGTTTGCTGATGCAAACAAGGGTGCTGATGATGACGTTCAAGATGGGCTTGTTCACATAAGAATTCAACAGCGTAATGGTCGTAAAACATTAACAACGGTTCAAGGTCTATCATCTGAATATGATTTAAAGAAGATTGTACGAGCTTGCAAAATGGTAATACCTAGAAACTAATATGAAGTATTTGTTTTATTAAAACTAAATATTTAAATTTATTTAATATTTCATCAATTATTTCAAAAAAATATTTTACCATCAGTACAATACATAAAAATGTAATAAAATAATTTTAATATTCATATAAGATATACCTAAATAAAAAATAGCTTTAATTGCACTTAATTATTTTGTTTTTAGCTTAATATATTAAGTTATCAATTTTCTTTCAATTTTATAATAATCAACTTTAAGATAAAATTAATTTATTATCATAGATTACATGTTAAAGTCAAACAGGTATTAAAGTCTTACATTTTTAACAAATTATTTATTCTGTGAAAATAATTTTAATATTTTAGGAGTTTGCGTGCAATGGTACAGTGGTTGATCATCCTGAATACGGTGAAGTGTTACAGTTACAAGGAGACCAACGAGAAAATATTTGCCAATGGTTAACTAAATGTGGTCTTGCCAAGTCTGATCAACTAAAGGTTCATGGTTTCTAATACTTTGTATTACTATATTACTCAGTCATGAAAATTACAATAATTTAAAAATTTAAAACATGCATTAATAAATTTAGTGTTTGATTCTACTGATTCTTTAAATTATTTATTTTACCTTACAAATTTAATCTTATTTTATTGGTCTGAAGATAGTCACTTTTGTATTTACTTATAAATATAATTAGTTGAGACTGAGGCTTAGTAATCTTATTTTAATATTACTAGAATAATATAATATTCTTTAATTTATGATTATATTTAGGAACAGAATATGTAAGTTAAATATATTTTTGTCAAGAGGACATCGTACCCTCATCTTTAGTCTCCGTCTTTCACACATACAACATAGTAAATTTTCATTCACCAGTTTCAATAGTATGCTTTTAGTTTTGTTATTAGAGTAAATTGACCTATCATCAAACTTTTAGGTAAGAACATTATCTGTGTTCTTTCATTAGTTTTTTATGATATTTTAATTTTTAAATGAATTATGAGCATTTTCATACATTTATATTTTTCATACTTATAACTCACTTAAAAATTAAAATATTGTAAAAAACTAATGAAAGAAAATATATAATGTTTTTATCTATAAGTTTGATAATAAGTCAATTTATTCTAATATCAAAACTAACACTATTGAAGCTGGTGAACAAAAATTTACTATGTCGTACGTGTGTAAAATGGAGACATACATGTGGGTTCAACGTCCTTTTCAGTAAATAATAAAACTAATGTATTAAATAGATTAGATTAAGTAAAAGTATGTACAATACTAATTACATTATAATTAATACATTAATAAGCTATGTTGAATTTAGAACTTATTATCTGTATTCAACTAATTTATAGTATTCAAGTTCGTCAATATGTGAATAATAAAAGTTATGATTTTTTCAATAACTCAGAGAACTGACTGTTGTATAAGTAGATAGGTATTGAATGCACCTTGTCATTGAGTACTTAAGTCACTGTAATGTATGTGTATTTGAATTCAATAATAAATAGTATACATTACATATAAATATGTATAATGGATTCTGAGCAAAGACTGACAGCTTATATTGATACATTTATTTTATTATATAAATAATTATATTTCTATTAGCATTAATTTTATAAGTAAATAATAATAATACTAAATTAATTTTTCTAAATAAATTATATCTATTTTAATTATAAAATTATGTCATATTATATATTTATATTATTGTTACTAATTTGCTTTTGAATCAATACCAACTTGAAACAAATAGTGGAATAGTCGAATAAATAACCAAATAGGTATTAGCATAAAATCATTTTAAATATTTTGAAAATATCCTTATGGTGATAAAGTAAAATATTTATAAATTTCAATTAGAATTCTTTAACATTGTTATATTGCTACGATCAAAACCTTAATACTTGTAATTATCCTAAAGTTGGAGCCATAAAAATATTCTAATATCTATAATTAATTATAAATTGTTATAAGGCACTGTAGTCTTTACCTGTTAGTCTAGTCAAATATACATCATAACTTGACAATTGATAATGATATGTTCACTCATCATCAAGGTAGCAAAAACATAATTAGTTACAGCCCATTAGTTACGTGCAAAGAACAGTCTTGAAAAAATTGCTTGCCATTCCTTTTAATTGTGTCATATTTGACATTTTTACTTGATCAATTATTACATTCTGTTGTAATAGTACTTAAAGTATAGCCAGTGCAGGGAATCGTTTAGATATTAACATGAGTTACAAGCTCTTTATTGTTAATTAATTTTTTATGTTATTACAAAACGGTGTCCAACAAAACAACAAACTAAGTTCAATTTATTTATAAAAACAAGCTGAGAATTGATCAAGTGCATGTGTAAGCTTCTTTTTAATTATAATTCTAACTTCAATCATACATTTAGTAATTAAATAATCAATTATGCTAAGTCTTAAAAATTATAAAATTAGCTAATAGAGAACAGTGCAGACAATTTATTTTATATTATAGTTGGTGAAGTTAATGAATTATCTTTTTTTTAATTATGTACTATGAAGTGAAGTATTTAATTGGTTTTTAAAAATTGATGTCATAAACAAGAGTTTATGTTAGTGTTTAGAAGATATGCTAAAGATTATAACATTTTCAAGCATTTTTAGAATTATTATAATTAATTTGATGTACAATTCATACTGTGTTAACATGCCATATTATTATACAATGTGACGGCCCATATGCGGAGTGGATACCGTGTTATAACAGTGAAAATACGTCGATTCGACGGTCAAGTTGATATCAATCACCATTCACCAGTGCTCTGCTTTATTGTTATTTTTATATTCTATAAATATGCGTATATTTCAAGTGTACTCCATCGTTGTAATGGATGATAGGTATGTAAGTATGTTGAATTAGAATTTTATGATAAAATGTTGAATACGAAAAAAAGTTATCAAAGCTAAAAAGACGGATAAATTAACATTTATTTCAGACTTCAGTATCTTTGTCTCTAATGGTAGTTAGTTATTTATAAGTTATATTTATTTTTTTGTAGTATTTTAGATTTTTGCGAAGCAATGAATGTATTTATTTTACAATGATAAATGTTTTTTGTGTATGTGTATGGTGTAAACATGTTAAGAGTTGAAAAAATACTAAAAATTTTAACTTTAAAAGTGGTGTGATAACAATTTAAACATTGTTTATACCGAGAGTTAAAATTACTATTTTTTTTTCTTTTTTTTCTTTTTACCTATAGTTATTATTCAAAATAACAGAAAAAAAAATTAAAAATGTAGGAGATAAAAAATTTTTATGCAAAATCAATAATTGGCAAAAACTGTTCATGTTATTCAAAAACAAGTAACACCAGTAATAGTAGGTACCTACTACCTAGTAGATATTTGTATGCTCACAACAGTACCTACAGTAGTTTTTAACAGGAAAATTAAAAAAAGTTTATATTGGAATATGCCCCTCAAGTTAATTTTTTTTCCGTGAAACATAAAAAAACAGTGATTTTTGTGAAAATCTACATTTTTTTCGTGATAACACGACAACATTTTTTTATAACTCAAAAATATTGTTAACATTATATCATGTGTATTGGTTACACTGTAAATTCTAGTTTTAAGTTTTTAAACTTAAAAGTTGATTATCTAATTAGTAATTACTAAATATTTCAGCTCAGTTAGTTAATAATAAACCATTTCTTTCGATCAAGTTCTATTATTTTTTTCAAAGGTTTTTACTACAAAAAAATTTTCATTTATTTTTATAAAACATTTAAATTTAGTAGTAATTTTTGCTATCTAATTTGAAGTTTCTTTAGTACAACACAACGAAATAATTCATATACTAAATATTCGAAATTACGTCATTTTCTTCAATATTGAAAACATAGGTACAACTTATTTTCGTTAATTTCACCTCAAGATAAATATAAATATTCATTAACTGAAAGCAGTTTTATATATTCAAGAAAAAAAAGATAGTGCAATGTTGAATATTTTTGTTGTGGATTTATCTTACACGACTGGGAAAAAGATGATATTTCATAAATTAAACACTCTAGATGGAATCCAAAGTGTATGTACGTATTAGGTATTATTTATTAATTATTATCAAATAAAAATCAGCTTGTTGAAAATATGGTTTATAAATACAGTAAGATTAACGATATTTATCAGTTTAAGAACGAATACGCTATAATTTGTCATATTATGGTATGATACATAAAAAAGCTTTATCTTATCAGTTATCGTTCTGTTTTTTTTAGAAAAATAAAAATAACTATAAAATTTAGTACTCCTTTTTTCATTGATGCATATAAATATAGAGTTCATTATTATATGATTAACTTAAATTAATATTTTCATTTTATTTTTTAGATTTATTTTAAAATTTGTTTGTTACATTATTTATTTTATGAAAGACAGGAAGACTTATATAAAATAGATATATATCTATAATCTATAGATAAAGACTTATAATAAAATATCTCTATATCCATGCCTCCATGGTTAAATTATAACTCGCTTAAACAACAATAATAATATTTAATATTTTTTTAAAAAAATCCATAAAATTAAATTGAAAAATCGAAAAAGAAATATTTTTTTTACAATGATTTTTAAGTTATTTAATATATAGATTATGCGCAAATTTATTCTTCAATTATATTTTCTAGCTATTATACCTAAATCAATAAATAGTGTTCTCATCTAAATTTTTTTTTTTTTTTTTGATTCTCAACACTTCTATTCTCATCAGGTTAGAATCTTTTTTCTAAATATATGATATTTTTTTTTAATATTCAAAATAATTTTTTTTTAAATTTTTTCTATTTTATTAAATTCATCTTTTTTTGCTATTTAAATTTACAATAATTGTTCTATTTGATATTTTATGTTAACGATTTGCTCAGATTTCATTTTATTCCAAAATGTATAGATTTTTTTTTAGCTATTTATAAATATGGGTTATCACACTAGTAAGAAAAAAATGATTTTTTTAATTTCAAACATAATCAATTAATAATTATTGGTATTTGTCCAATATGCTATCTACCGCATGTTTGATGGTTTAGTATGCTATCTACTGTAAATATTTTATCTACCATCATTTTATGTTGGTGAAGTATGATTTCAACACGTATTTACTATCTATAAATGTGAATTGTCTTACCTTTATAATGCAGAATTTCTAATTTTTCATTTTTTTTATACTGTGTAGTTATGTATACGTATTTCTGATGGCTCCGAAGAATGATTTGAATAGGTCTTCAGCTGGTTTTTGTGACGAGCGCCACCACTCTATTTGAAGTTGGGATGGTAATATGTTAGTCGCTCTCCGTGTTTCCATATTACCTTTCGAATTACGTTTTCGACAATTTTCAGAACTTTTATCAACTCACCACCAAAAATTGTTTGGTTTTTAATTTTTGTATATGTTTGGTCGATTGGTAATAAACCACATATGTTTAAAAAAATTTCGCACATCTCTTCATATTGAATTATGTGTCGATATAAATAATTCATAGTTGACAAATTCATAATAATAACTAATAAATAAATTACATTAAAACCACATAATATAATCGACACAACTCACAAACACACGCTAAACAAGTATAATATAAAAGAATATCTACTAACCTACCTAACTCACTAAGGTATAAATATAATATAACTTGGGGTTTCCGTAAAAGCTTAATCTTAATTCTAAAATGATAAAGTATATTATAATATAATATACAGCATATGGACATATGGTAGATATCTAGTGCTTGATTTGGGGGGGACGTGGAGGGACGGAGTCCCCCCTTCTTTTTTAATTTCATTTTAGCGTACCCCTTCTATTTGCCCCCACGGTAATGTGACGGTTAATTTTGTGTGGAATGCTCGTTTATCAAACATTCGATGAGTCCCCCTTCTATTTTTTTTTCTAAATCGAGCACTGTAGATATCATACTAAACTATAGGTACCTATCATAAAATTACGTAGATAAAATATTTACAGTAGATAGCATATATATTGGACGAATACCTAATTATTAAATAACTTAAATTAAAAATAGGATTAGACATTTAAAAAAAAAACTTGGTACTAGCTAAGTAGAACACTGTAGCTAAAAACTACTCTAATTAAACATTTAATTAAAAGTATGCGTAAGTACTAAAATATTTCACATACAAAACATAATACACGGTTATTTTTTTAAAAAACTTTATTTTTATTCATTAGGTAGAAAATGTCAATAATATTAAAATAAAATAGACTTATAGAAAAATAAATAACAACTTTTTTAGTTCATTTTAATTTTCTTTAGCCTGGTTATTATATTGTTTATTAATAATTATTTAAATTAAAACATTTATAATTATTAGAAAAAAATCTTATGTTATATTTCAATTTAAGAACGTGATACACTAATCATGGTTTATATTTAATATAAATCACCCGTAACATTAATCAATAACATGATAAAATAAGTTATAGTGATTAAAAATAGTACCTATTATGTATAAATATATAATCGTATAGGTTATTAAATTTTCAGCTAATGACGTTTGGATATTAAATTTTTATTATTTTAGTTTTTTCTAGTTTTTAAAAAAAAGAAAAAAGAAAATTTTTTTAGGTAAGTGTTAATTCATTATAAATACAGTTTAGTTCAATAAGATTATTATTTATCTATTTATTTATATATATATAGATAAAAGAATAAAAATAAAAAATAGTAGTAAGTAAGTACTTACATTTCTGTTTACAGAGATGTTTTGAAAAAATTTCAGCTTCTACTATAGTTCACTGTGTTCGCTTATACTCACTTGTGCTCACGATAAATCTGATGATTTTTAAAAAAAATATATTTACTATTTATGAATAGGGTTCGGATTTAAAGACAAAATTTTTTATATTTATTCATATAAAAAGTATTAAAAATGTCAAAAAGGCAAAAAAAGCATTTTATTTATAAAAAAAACAATTACAAAATTTATAAAAAATTAAATAGTTTGTATATTATATATATGTTAACTAGTTTGTATTAAAAAGAAAATTGTGGACTGACTAACAATTTTGAATCTAGTATCTATACACGTTACAATTTATAAACATATTTTAATCTATATAGATACGTAGTATGGGTACTTTTATAAACGTCTAATCAACTGGCAATACCAAATACTCGATAAATATTGCAGATAATAAAACCCATTAAAAATAATTGACAAACGATAATGTACCGTCTTCAGAAGACGAGCGTTGTGTATAAAAATATCAAATCCATTGAAAATTAAACACAAAAAAGGAATTTATAAATAAAAAATGCATTATAAGTAAAAAAAGTAAAATTAAAAACACATCCATCGTCTTAAATCATTGTTTCTCAACCTATGGTAAGCGTACCACTAGTGGTACGCAGAAAGCACAAAGGTGGTACTTGAATGAAAAATAAATATTTATCATCAAATAAAATATTATTATATACACAAAATATTATTTCGTTTATTGATTACTAAACCAAATAGTCGGTTTTACTCACGTTAAAGATAGAAATTTAGATAAACAATAATCTCTATTATGTTGTAATGCTTGGTTGATTTATGTTTTAACAAATTGTACATGCTTAATTTTACTTTTGTTTAATAAATTTTAATATTCTATACATTTTTTTTAAACAAAATGAAAAAATATAGTTTTCTAAATTAAATGGTACGTGAAAATGGTAGGTGGTATTCGGAAGTTAAAAGGTTGAGAATCGCTGTCTTAAATATTAAATGACAAATATTTTTCTATTATTATTATTTAAAAAAAGGCTTTTGCTTTCAAATCCGAACCCTAGTTATGAAGTATTAAATTTCTATCTCTTTAAACTTATAATCATTTATACTATAAAACGTGATACTACATTTGTAAAGTGGTATTGACTCGTAATATGGTATAAATATATATATATTTTATATATGTATTATTATATTATTTGAATACTTGATTAATATTTATAATATAATAAATGCTACGATTTCGAGAAAAATTAACTAATTCTACTATATTACTAATAAATCACTACAACAGCAATATAAATATATCAGACTATACTTAGTAATAAGTAATAACTAATAACATAATTTTTGCCTAGAATCGTTTTTCAAATGCAATGATTAAATTCAAATGTAATTCATCCATATATATTAAACAGTAATAAAATGAGGTACGCTCAAAGTCTACTTTACAGTACAAACTTTAATTTTTCCCTTTTTTTGAATCTGATAATACTTACCTACCTACGTATTTAACAAAGTGCTCTAATTCTGTTGAAAATTCTGAAACAATACTCTCGATAATATCTATTAATATATTTAGCATATAATCTCTTGAAACCTATTTTATTGTACGGTACAATATTAAAATTATGTTTGATTATTTATAATATAAATTTCAGAACCGTATTATACAGTTTCTGAAACATTTCAAGTATACTCAGTAGGAACAGCGTCACTTGTCAATTAGCGGTAAATTAATTAACTTTTATTCCACGGCAATGTCGCCTCTGGTACGGCGACTATAGGTTATACGAGTAGGTATTCAAATTCAATCTATACGGTGCAAATAATAGAGAAGTAAAATACCGGGTGAATGGAGTTCATGTCGGCTGTGTTTATCGACAGCGGTGACAATGTTTACGTCTATATTATTATTCAACAGTCGGCGTGGGTGACACTTACTATACATTATTATATACGCGGGTTATATAGGTACCAGGTACGTATAGGCTACGACTACGGTAGCTGCTGTACTGCGACGTTGTAAAACATTGCCTAACGATGTGACGAACGCTATAAACTATAATTATTGCATTATTATTATTAATATTATTATTATTATATATATAATACAATATACATTTATATGTCATTGTATTGACATTATGGAGACATGAAAAATATGCGGTCGCATATCGTGCGATTAGTATACGTGCGGTATTGCAGGTCGGGTTATCAGTCCACATTATTTCGCACACGGCGTTCACAGTCGTGTACCTACCAACGTTTTGGCCTGGACAATCGGACAATTAATAATTATTACTGTTGCAGTCGACCGCAGCGATTCTCGACAGACGCACGTGGGGACGTGTGCACGCGTATATTTTAACATCATTATTGCCGTTTCTAATAATATTATCTTCATTGCGGTTGGAAGTGTAACAATTATTATTATTTAATAACCTAACCATGAGTGAGCTTGAACGACAGTCGTGCAGACGAGTGATTTTCGACCGGGTGTTGGGCAAAGGGACATTCAGTACGGTGTACAAAGCACTGGTAGAGCCGGACAACGAACACATTGCCCTAAAAATAGTACACTTGCAGAACATTGTTCACGACCCAAAAACCGTACGGGATTGCGTGAACGAAATCAGCAACTTAAAGGTCGGTATAATAATGTTATGTCCAACAATAAAATAATTCATAAATATATAATAGAAGTACCTAATGATATATTGATATATACTTAATACTTACCTATATGACTATATGTACTGACGCGTGCGCGTACTCATCGTTATGCACATGCGTGTTCGTAGTGTATACATATAGCAGTAAAGGTCTTATTATATTACCAAAGTACCTAATATAGCTATATAATCTATGTGTGTAGTGTCTATCCACATGGCCACATGATAGCGGCGAGTTCCTCAATATGTAGGAATTAAATTAATTTTTTCACAAAAACACGGAGTGTCGATTTTTCATTTTTATATAAATTTTTCTATTTTTTACTCAGTGCCCTATATAATTTAAATTTAATTTAAATACAAGTTTGAGGACTGTATGGTCGTATAGAGTGTAATAGATACAGCTAAATTATGTATTCAACTAATACTTATAAGTAAATGTTTTTGTTCTAATCAATAATTCATTTTTGTTAATATATAGTAATTAAAATGTTATATAATATCTAAATTTAAAAAAACATATCTAAGAATAAAAGTAATTATACAGTTGATAGTTGATACTAACTTGATTACATTAATTATTGTCAGTTGTTTTTGTTACACTTTGCATCATAAATATTATGTACACTCATTAGTTAGTATAGGCCAATTTACGCAATTGCTTTTAGGCGTTACAGAATACAGAGTGTTTATTTTTGAAGATATCCTACCTAGTTATAGAATATATATTGAAGTAATCAAATATTACGCTTAAAATTATTTTTGTATTATTATGTATATTATACTCCGTGTTTTTATATGATTCGACGTCAACAAGACCATCCATGCGATAAAACTGTCCAACGTAATATCTACTGTCTACTGACATAGCACAACCACAACAGTTTAAAATATTTTATATATTACACGTGTGACATATATAATCAAAAAAATTATTATGGCAGTATGTTGTATGTGTATGTGATGTGTATTTTTAGAAAAAATGTTAAATTAAAAATAAATAACTTTTAAGTATCTTTTGTGAACTGTAGCTTGTTGGTGTATGTCAAAGTGAATATTTTATTTAGTTTGTTTTTCTAAATTTTAGTGATTCCCATTCAAATTAGTCATAAATATTTTATCAACGGAAATGATTACCATAAATTATATAGATAATTACTTGATGTGGTATCTATTACCTATTATATTACCTATGTACATTTTTAAAACAGGAATATGCCCAGTATATTTTCCTATAATCCAATCACCTAACGGCCCACTCAACGCACGTTACACGAGTGTTTATTACTTTGCTTAGGTAGTAACAATAATATAACTTCGATATCTAAATGTATGGGCATAATAAATGATAATATATTGTAATATAATAAAGTAATTTATAACTATAAAAGTATAAAGCACAAGCTACGTAAAGTGTTTAGTCTGTTATTTATAGCACATATGTGCCTATAGGTATAATATTGATATTTAACTAGATACACATGTAATTGTCAATTGGTATGTATTACCGAAAAAAAGATTTTCATCAATAATAAAAGAACTAGTGTTTGGTCAAAAGAAATCATCACCATCATACAAATATAGGTACTAACTATCGGAACATCCTAAAATTAACATATAAAAATTACTTGTCTGTTTGCCTATTAAGTTCGTGTACTTATAAATTACACGTGGGAATTCGGCTTAACTAGTGCATAAATACTATGAAAAATTTCGTGGAAAATTCGAAATTAAATGAAGATATTTATGAAATAATCGGAAAAAAACAGGAATAAATCTGATGGAAAAAACACTATTATAGATTAAGACGCGTGTTAAATTGATGGATTCGGGGACTTTTCGACACGACATGTCAATTCGGTGTATTTTTTAAACTTTGTGTACATTAGGTATTATTAACAATATAAATGTATTAAGTTGGAAAATTCTGATTACATCACGTTTATCTTTATTGCCGTTTGTATCGTTAAATATTTATCAGAAACATCATAATACGCATTCCACTGTCACTTTTACAAACAATAAAACATACGATACTGAGTATTCACCAAGAAACTTACAAAATAACGAATACAAATTTAGTTGGACTGTATTAAAAGTAAACGAAGTCTACTTGTTTTTAGAGGATTTCTTTGCAAACAAGATCGAAAAAGTGGAGAAAAATATTACAATGAAGAGAAAGTATGTTAAGCTTGGATAAACGCATACAATAAGGTAAACCTGTATTATAAGGTATTAAGCATTTTTTTTTATGAAATGTGTATTACATATTGGTTTTTTATGTAGATGAAATTATAAAATTAACAACATAATCATATACCAAATATTTAAAATAAATATTGAAAAGAAAAACGATCAATAAAATGAAAGAATATACCACAAAAGCTATAACAACATAATTTTTATGAGATAAACTTCTTCAATGGTGGGTTATTTTAATTAACTTATTTAATTAATATATGAATTTATTAATTTTTACTAATTTTTAGTATTTTATTAATTATAGCTTTAAGTACATCAATATTTCTGGATTTTTAATTTAATTATTTTTGATAGAATATAATAATTATATTTATATACATGTGTATAAACAATAATTCTGTATTTTTAATTTAATTTACTTTTTTTAAATTTTATGCATCGAACTGACAAGCGTTGAAATCTAGTTGTATCAAGTTAACACGCGTTAAAAAGTCGTACACGTTCAATAGTCTTGTATCGAAATAACGCAAAAAACCGTGATGTATAGTGTATGAGTAAATGTAGTACAATGATATATTGTTTAAAAAGTTGTTCATTATATAAGTTTCAACTATTTTACGTTTGGCTCTAAATTATACACAATATTATGCCACTAGATTTAGTATAAGTACTAATTATGATGATAGGTACTAGCCATTTAGTACATTACGCTTATAAATTATGTACGATTATGATAATATCTATAGAGTGTTTCATTATGAACGCTTGATTTAATTTGGTAATTAATTTATTAGAAAAAATTGTTTAAATTAAAGAATGATATGAACATTTAGTATTAATTCTCCAATTTATGTAGGAATATAACATTTAAAATATATCGAAATCGGCTACGTAAGAAAACTTTAGTTCCATCTATTCATGTTATTGTTTGAAAAATTTGAGGGTCGACTTTTTCAACGAAATGGTGACTAAAACTAGCCTCCCTGATCTAACTCCACTAGATTTTTTTCTTAGGAGTTATATCAAAACTTTTGAAAATAACCACGAACCAATGAAAAATTTAAAGAAGAAATTATTAATGAACTAGACTCGGATATGTATCAGCGAATAATGGGTTAGGTATTTGAAGACCAAAACTTTAGCTTGCTGACTTAGCAGATGTTTTATTTCCCACGTAAATCAGAAAAGAGGATGTATACTACATGTTCATATAATTTTTCTGTTCTACACTATTTTTCTAACTAAGAAGACGCCGCACCCGCATGTGTTATCTCTGTTTTACATACATACAACATGGCAAATTTTCGTTCAGCAGAATCCATTTTATGTTGTTAGCTTTAACATTAGAGTAAATTTACCTATTATCGAACTTAAATATAAGAATATGACATAGGCTTTTGTTAATATTATAATTTTAAAGTGAGTTATGAGCATTTTAAAGTTTCAATATCTTATATAGCTATAACTCAATTTAAAATTAAAATATCAATAAAATTCTATGTCATTGCCTAGATAAAATTTTTATCTTTAAGTTTGATAATAGGTAAATTTACTCGAATGTTAAAGCTAACAACATAAAATGGATTCTGCTGAACGAAAATTTGCAATGTTGTATGTATGTAAGACAGACAACACTGCGGGTGAGGCGTCGTCTCTCTTAAGTAATAATAAGATACTCGTAAAATCTGACGTTCTTAATGAAACACCTTGTACTTGAATATTAGTGATGATTTTGAATACTGCACGTGAGTAAAATACTTTAAAATATTAATGCTCTTACTAAAAAAGTTTTCTCGATAATATTAAATACCTATCCACAAAAAATAAAAAAATTAGGAATACTTTTATTATTTTACAAATTGAAGCAGTAGTTTATTATATCTTAGTTTTTTTTATAAAATATGTAAATAATAATTTTTCATATGAATGTACCAGGTATTTATTGTACCTACACGGAGTCTCACAGAATGTGTGTTTATACACTCTTTATTCATGTCCTCAGAGTCTCTCTGTATAGTAATAGAGTGTACCTATATATCAAGAACGGCCTAACTTTTTTTGGTCACGATCTACTAAAAATATACTTTACCTTTAAGGATCGATTTCAATAAAAAAAGTTTTTTATTATTAAGTTACTATACTACCATGATTAATTTTCACATGCATAGTCTATAAATAAATTCTAACACGATCGAATTTGAAATCATTCGCGATCGATCGTTTGGCCGCCTCTGGTATATTATATTATGTAAATATATTACCTATTGCGACTATTAACTATCAAGCAGCTATGTTTGTTATATTATTGTACTACTCTACTGTTAATAAAACTTTAATTTTAACATACCAACGTCACTAATTTTAATCCCTAGGTATAGGTACTTACATGAAATTTAATTATTCATTTTTTTTTTCAAAAATATTTACATAAGTTTTAAAACAGTACCAAAATATTTTTTAATACCTATGTAAAATATGTATTATTTATGTTATCAATAGAAACTGAATCATTCAAATATAATACGATGCTTGTGGTGGGATTTTTCGGATTTTGAATTGAAAATTGGCTTGGAACTTGCTACTGGCGGAGATTTAAGACGGATTATTCATGAACATTACGATAAGTTTAGTCTAATTAAAGAATCGATCATTTGGTCCTGTGGCGTCCAATTGTCCAGTGCACTTTATCACATGCATAAATCAAGAATAATGCATCGAGGTATAATATAATAAATTTTATTTTTTCCGATTGAATGTTTTTAAAAACCATTTCATTAAGACACTTGTAAACTAGCTAATATACTACGTGTAGACACTAATAAGCTCACTATTTAGCGGTGTTCTATGAAGGAGAGGATAAATCATTTTTGGTCTCATTACAACAGTTTTCTATTTATTTTTTTTATTTTATTCTTATTTTTTAATAAAATATAAAAATTAAAAACACTTAAATAATAATACAAGTCAATATGTATCAATTATTTTTTCAAAATGTTAAATAATTTTCAGTCTTAAACATATTAGAGTCCCCGGGAAAGTATCAAGTGTTGGCCTTCGTCTGTTTATGCTACCAAAATACTTCAATTTTTAGATTACAAAAAAAAAAAAAAATAATAATAATAATTACAATGACAATAGTTTTTATTATTATTGCTTATTTAATTATATTTAATTATACATGCAATTTTATATTATACGGACCATATCTTAAAATATTGACATATAGATAAAATGACCATTTGAACATAATTATAATTTTAAATATAATTATTTTTATAGTACCTATCTATTACTTAATTTAAATCATTAAATAGCTACCAAGTAATTTTATGAGTATGAACATTTTTATAATTCATAAAAAATGCCAAAATTGTTGTTAAAAATTTAAACTATTGTTAAATAATATTTTTTTCAATGTGTGAATTAGCTTATTGTTGCTTAATATATCACTATTATTATTTTTTGATATGAGATATATTTATAATTTTATATATTATGTAACATAATTGTGGTATATTTTTCATGCGCAGACATCAAACCGGCCAACATTTTTGTATACGGATTGAAAGAAGAAGAAAATTCGCTTTACGAGCGGTGGAGAGGAGTAAAAATTAAGCTTGGCGACTTTGGATTTAGCAAAAATATAACGAACAGTCTAGACATGACATGTAGATCGGTGCTAGGCTCTCCTCTATACATGAGCCCCGAGAGGATGTTACATCAAAAGTATTACTTTGATAGCGATATATGGTCAATGGCTTGTGTCATATACGAGGTATGCGACATTATGATTTATAACATAATAAAATGTAATTATAATTATTACCGGATTCGTATCAATGATATACAGTTTTAAATACTACACTTCTTGACACACTAATACCAATTAGGTAAGCAATTAGAACAATTTATAACCATGAGGATAACTCTGTAGCTACTTATAAAGTCTAAAACTGAGTATTTTATTATTAAAATAAATTTAATGGTTAATTAATGTATTAGGCTTAAGGCGTTAGGAGAGTTGGGAATAATCTGGATACAAGTCCAGAGCTAGAGTCCTAGACAATCAAACTTTAAAATAAGCTATTTAAAAGGCTCCTTTCGTCATTAAAAAATAGTTTTTAAAAATTAAATGTGAACAGCAAAAAAAGTAATAAATAAAAATATTTTGCTTTATAGTAAGCACATTTAATACTTTGTAATTATACTTAGATGACTGTTATAAGTGTTTTTTTTTCTTAATGAATATAATATTTAAAAATCATTATCTATGATAAATTATCATTAGTTCCATTATTTTTCTACTTACACATTTCGTGTTTGATTGTGCATTTGTGCTAACCATATACTATTTTCGTAATATCTACTTAAAATTATAAATATGTTATATACTAGTGGTATGATCAATAATATTGTGATTTCAGAAAATTTTTATTAAATTTCGAATTTCAAATGCATGTAAAAAACAATTGTGAATTACGACAGTATATTATTATAAATTTAACTATACCACGCAATGACATTTTTGATTTATTTTAAGCTATTATATATTTTTATTATTTTACAGTATTTATAGAAAGTTATTATTACATTTTGAATTATATAAGTGGATATAACAAGGTATAAATATATATTGTTATAAATTATAATAAATAAATATTAATAACATAATCAATACAATATTTTTGAAAAAAACTTTATCAACTTATCTAATTATTAGTAAAAATAGAATAAATTACTTTAATAGTTATATCACAAGATATATTTAGTGGTATAGGGTGATAGACTGTATCCACTCAAAATTGTTTTTTGTATTCAAATATACAATGATTCAATGATACATAATTTAATTTAAATTTAATAAATTATTAATAACCTTATTGTGATTAACTCGACGCCTAATATGCAGAAAAGCGGTGCTCGCCTGTCTACTTTTTTTTTTTGATTTTCACAATTATATACATATAAAAAAAAGTATTGGGAATTTTTTACTTTAACTTCTTTAAAATTCAAAGTAAATTCAATTTGCTATCTAAACCCACCCTAAAATTTTAAAATCAAAGCATTTTATCAACTACCTACTTATCGAATATACACATACACACAAAAATTAACACATCATTTTAAAATCAGTACATGTGTTGCTTTACTAAAAATAAAAATGTGAAATATATTTATACAATAAAGTATCGTTTGAAATCACTACGATACTTAAAATTAACATATTTAATGTAAATATAAACATTTCATATAACAAAATAAATATGAACGTAAAAATTGTATATTTTCCCATATATAATATCTCTACTATCTACAAGTCATAGCCCGATAGCCGATTCATTTATACACAAAAGTATTCATTTCTACTAACAGTATAGGTAGTACTCTGTACTACTTCAATCATTTGGTTTGGTTTCTTTCATAATTGTTTTAATTAACTGATTTATAATGCCTTCATTCACATTGGTAGTTTTGTTTTAGTTGGTGGCACTTCAGGCGCCATTTCATTTGAATACCTTAGACATGAACTTGATGACCAAAAGAATTATACATGGATTTTACCCACCCATACCTTCAGACATCTATTCCATAAAGGTCAGTATTTATATTCTATATTGCTATATCTAATGGTTGTTATGCAAATATTTACAATCATTTAGACCAAGGGTCTTCAATCTTAAAATCTATGTAAGCTATATTTTCTTTGTTTTTCAGAGGGTTGCATTAAAGGTTAGAATTATTATTATTAGAAATATAATGTTAATATCTAATACTAATACATTTATTGGTATCAAAAATAATATTATGAGTTCTATAGTTAGGCTGTCTTTACTTACTAATTTTTAATAAAAAATAATATTTATTGACTAAAATAATCAATAAATATACAAATATAAAGTTTCTAACATGATTATTAGGGTAATATATTTTTAAACAATTTGTTGTTCATGTCTGCTTTCATAATATGGAATTAATTATATTCTAGATACTGATAATTATTCTAAAAAATCTGCATTCAAGTTTTTGTTGCTAAATTGGAATATATATATTTTGATACTTAACACGTTGAGTGCCACGGTCGACACGTAGTCGACAACTGTTGTCGGGCGCCCAGAACCGCGGTCGACACGTAGTCGACAAATGTAATGTGTATCTTTATGGGCGTATTTCTAAATCGGTTATTGACGTACAGTTTTGATTTTTATATGTAGTTATTCAGTAGGATCTCGTGATTTCATCGGTATATTTGGATTTTGCGTAGCTATTTTTAGTGGGTATTAATAATTATTTTTCCCCAAATGATGACGACGACAGTGACGGCGATACGAATTCACGGCGTTTCAATTTCCAATAATATAATAATATAATAATATAATATTATTTGTGTTGTTACTAATTGACTGACAAAAATAATAGTTTATTTTTATAATGTTTATGTTGCATTTTGCTTGAATAACAATATTAGTTTGTATTTATGTTCCCAGACTATGGTATATTCTATATTATTTACATTTTACATAGCATTTATTACATATTTATTTTGATAGATACGCATTTGTTGATGACAAAATTATTATAACTTAAAATAATAAACTTAATTTATAAATAATAATTTTGTCGGGCGCGGAGAACCGATGTCGATACGTAGTCGACCGTCGGCGTCGCTGCCTAGTTTTGGCGCGGAAACTCACTATACAACAGTCACAAATAACGCGGCACTCAACGTGTTAACAAGTATAGTAGGTAATGATTTTTTAGCAAAATATTTATCTTTAAAATCTATTTCAGAATAAAATATTAAGAGGTCTAAATTGTAGATGCACTAATTCATGGTAAGGTTAAGGAATTTTGTAGAATAAATATGGATTGATTTTTATTAAGACCCAAGATTGTATAGTAATCAACTATTTTAATACATTTTTAAAAGATTTATAAAAATAATATTTTCATTAGTACAAGTTATAAAACTGTTTTTTTTTAATTGATAAATTAATATATATTTTAATGTAGAATGAATACTGTAATGTACCTTAGTATTAATTATTATTTATTTCTATTGTTTATGAAACATGTTTAACTTTCAAGTTTTAAACACCATATAAACTGTCACACGATTATCAAATGTTTTATATTTTACACATATGTAGATTACAAAATTCATAGATAGCTGTATTATAGTCGATCACAAGTCCAGGCCAAATATATCACAGATCCTGAGAGTAACACAGAGAGGATTGGCAGAATCTTGGAACACCGTACTTTCATCATAGTATTATGATGAAGTTATGTTTATATAAAATACCATTATAGTATTATTATAATATAGATTCCACATTATTATAATGATTAACTTTTTTAATAGTATCTACCAGTTTTTAAAAGATATTATTTAAAAATGATTTGCCAATAAACTTTTATGGATGTAATATTTTAAACCACGATATAATACTTTTGATAGAGTAAATGCACCTAACTATAGAATCTAGAAGACTATTTTTTTTGTACAATTACAAACTAATTAATTTTTTATTATATATTTTATTTATTTTTATACATCTTTATTAGGGGAAAACAATAAATGTACAACAATTGATTGATGATTTTTTTTTTTACATAATCAAGAATTAAAACGGTTACTAAAATTTGTATAAGCATTTCATTTAACATATTCAATATTATTTTTTTTTTTTGCATATATAAATACAATAAATATGACAGTATTATTAGCACTCTTGGCGCAAAGCAATAGGTACTTGTTATTTTTAAAATAAATAATTATAACTATAAACTGAAACAAATTTTAGTCCTACAGAACTGATAATAATAATAATTTTTAAAAAATTGTTCTTTATTATACATACTATGCATGGTGTTACATCATGACTAATGCTTTATGATATTCGAGCCATTTTACATTTTTAGGTATTTTGTTTACCTACATTAAACTACATTTTTATATTATACAGGTTATGTAATTATAGTTTAAATTATTTTAAATACATATATATATATATATATTATATGTCTTTACATACACATACATAATATATTATATGTATATATATATATAAATGTACAGAATTGTAAACAATATACCTATTGTAAAAATGCTTACATTATACTTAATGGTGTTACAATATCTAAACGATAAAAAAAAAGGACTATAACATACACTATGATTACACTATTTTTAAGGTCACGTTTGTTAAAAATCTTAAAAATGAAAAATTTGATTCATGTGAAATTTACCTAAAGAAATATAATTATATCATAAAATAATAAACTTATATAATTGCTTTTAACAAACGCAACTTAAAGAAAAAATTTACAAATTCATACTGCACAGCGTGGATATAACCTTTTCAGGATATTAACAAATATTGTCTACATGACTACAGTAAAAAAAAAATACACATTTATATATATATATATATATACTTATTTAATATTAATCTATCGACATATATAATTCATTTTTTATTTTTGTGTAATGCTAAAGCAATGTCACTGGTGAAGTCTGATAACCTTTTATTGTTATTGTACTAAAAATTGTTACTAATTAATATTGTTAAAAAAAAAATGTTTAGTTTTTAATTTAATAGTATTTCACATATCACATAATTTTTTGTTATATATCTCATGAAAATCATATTTTTTATACAAGCAGGAAATAGTACAAATTTTCAATTTAAATAGGTATCAGATTACCAGGTTTGTGCTATTCAACACCAAATTGCTTAATGCCATTACTTAATAAAACAGTAATATTATGTTTCCTGTAGTAAACAATAATTATGACATTATAAAAATTTACTCTGAATAATTAAATTATTTATTTTACATAATAACAATAATAATAATAATAATAATAATATATATATAAGTATTATGTATACATAATTTAGAAAATAATAATTATGTAAAATGCAATAGTAATTTGTATGCATGGAATATGAAAACGAACAAATGCCGAAACTGATTTCGTTAGACTTGACACAATAGCAAAAATACAAATTACATACAGAGCTATTGATTTCTTAAAACACGATTTGTATCAAAACATTTAGTTAATACACATATATGAGACAATTTATTAAACTTCTTATAAATATTTTTTTTGTTTAATAAATTATCTACTCAACATTTATGCTTGCACGGAAAACGTTAGAAACGCCAAGTTTTATAAGATAGGTGCGCCAATAATACATACAATTTTTAGAAAATATTACACAAAGCGCTTTGCTGATTCTATATCAGAACTAATTGTAGTGATTAGTAATTACAATTTTTTAATTAGCGAGACCAATTACAATATGAGTATTATTAAGAAATGCATTAATAAAAAAGATCTTCGTTGATACGATATCTCTTTGTTATAAAATTTATATTTAACATATACATATATAATATATTACACGCGAGAGTCAATTCTCATAAGATACGATGATCTACAATGTATTAATATAATATTATCATTGTAAATATTTTAACACTTCTGCTTATAATGGTAGATCATCAGTCAGAGGAAGGGGGATTGCCACAAATATTGATATATCACATATAATAGAGGGCATTTTAGAACAAATATACATACATATTAATATGATTATAAAAATAGTAATAATATTTATTGGTTAAGCCTGTAATCGTTATCAGTGGTATTCGAGCTACCGATTACAATATTATTTCTGATGTCGACAATTATATGATTATAATATTGTAAAAGTGGTATGCAAATTATAACCCCCCTTTAATTCCCACGTACTTAAATAAAATTCTACATCGCATTAACTCAAATTTCATTCACGAGCATTATTTAATAATAATAATAATAAATCTTAAATTTATACATGAAAAAAAAAATAATAATAAATAAATAAATAGTATTAAAACTAATGGGCATGCGGACGAATATAAATTCAAAACACCCAAGACACCCCCGAAAAGCAAAATGTTTGATAGTTTAGTAAAGCAAATGTTTGCTAACCGACAAAAATACAGTTAGTAATTAATATGATTTGTATAATTCAATTATCTATTGGAAGTAAGTACACATGGAAATATTTATTTTGAACGATAGACGTTTAAAGTAAAAGTAGAGAATAATTTAAAAATCGGTAAAAATCATAAGACTTTGGTCATTTACATTAAAGTAACAGTATGTGTGGAGGGTGGGGATGATTGGAGCTGTCATTTCTAACAATATTTATTTAATTAAATTAATTCATATAGTAAAAATCAAAGGCATATTTAGATTATCGAAAATAAAAATTGAATCAAAATGACATTAAGTTTAAAAAATTAAATCAAATCAAAATTAAAAATAAGTAAAAATCATATAACGAAAACAAAATCATTGAAAAAACATTTTTTTTTTTTTTTTTTTATTATAAAATCGATTTACCGGAACACACACGCTGTGTCTGTCTCGAACAACGGTTGGCGGTGAGCGAGAGACATTCAACCGCCGTTTTGTCTGAAAATATTTGAAAAAGGTTTTGCTTTTTAAATATTTATAAGGGAATAGAGATTGGTGAGTATATTAATGTGTACGTATTTGTATGATGCGACTATACCGGGTCATGGCTGGTCGTAGCAGTCGACGCGCGTTCGTTGTCGGTTGTAAACAAAAATATTATAATAATGTATTATAAAATATTTGAGGCATAATAATAATAATAATAATAATAATAATAAAACTAATAGTAGTAATAATACAAAATCATATCATTGTTATTATCGTTATTCGATGGTGTACGCGGCACTGCTCTCGTTCTCGTCCGGTCCGCGTGTGCCTGTGCGCACGCATGCGCGGGTGTTGCGGGTCGATGTGTGGATGTGTGTAATAATTAATTTTTTTTCGTACGGAGAAACCAAAAAACCTATTCGTCGACGGACGGCAGGTTTTCGGTGTGTAGTCAGAGCTTTAGATCGTTGGCTATTTTTGACGCAATGTTCTTGAACCCGATGGACGTGCCCGAAATGCGTTTAAACCGGACGCCGTTCAGCGATAGCCTTGGCAGCTTGCACACCTCGATCTCCCACTGGACCAGCGAGTCGGTGTTCGGGTCGCCGTGAACGCACAGCAACAGGAAGCGCTCGCGCTGCTCGTAATCGCAATTGTTGGCGTCCAGCACCTGTGTAGTACGGGAGAGTACGGGAAAGACAAAAAAAAAAAACAAAACGGTTAATCGTCGGAGATGAACGGGCGTCACTGCGCATTCGAGGAGTTGTCGGAGTTTTTTGGGACGTGGCGGCGATGGAAGAGAAATAAAACGGCGTTTGTGCAAGGTTAGATATTTTTGTTTGGAGAATTAAAAACAACGGATTCCACGGTCCCCCGACCTGTGGCGGGGAAGTCGAGTCAAGTCGGGTTTACGGATACGTCTTCTTCTGTCATGCCGCGCGTCTTGTATATCGTGTTCGAATCGGTCATCGAAATCACACACGGTTGTCGTTCACTAACCTCGACTTGCCGCCAAACTTTCAGTCGAGACGAACACACAATCTTTGAACACGACTAACGGCAGACGGCGCAATAATAGTGAACCCGACGATGAGCGATAACGTTGTTAATTATATCGTAATTGCCCGTAAGGAGGTAAGTGATAATAAACATATTCATGGCTATATATAATTGCACTATTACACTGTTGGATTTCCCGTGCACCGTTTACTTATGATATCACCGTTGTTATTGATGACAGGTCTTATCGGAACAATAGTTTTTATTACTATAGCGATGAACACCCGCGGCGACGAATGCCTTATCAGATTGTACGGGAATCGAATTAGCTGGTACGAAATGTTATGTAGCAAGACGTTAAAATACGTTTTTATAGACCTCGGAGCCGATTATTCCCCAACGGAGTAATTCCGTTAACGACACAATAATTATTTGTTTGCTCTACAGTTCGTATTAGTGGGTAGCAACGGGGGACATTAGCTAGGTATTACATTCTAAACAGGGCCTATACATAAAATTGGAGTAGGAAGGTGTACGTAAATTAATATTTTGATTTATTTAAAAATCAATTTTGGGGGAAACTCAAAGACTGGTAATATGCCTAGGCCCATTATTTTTAACGCGTTTTAATGTTAACAATCGACGACAATCCGTAAGCGACAGGATTTATACTCTTATATCATAATTAGTAATAAAATATTGTAATTGATAACGAAAAAATAAAATAAAATAATAATAATAATAATAGTTTGTACATAAATTATGGGAATCTATATTATTTTCACAAGATCTACCATCGCCGTATTTTTTGGGAAGACAACTCACCTCTCTTATTTCAGCCATAATCTCGTTTGGATCTCTTGTAGACGTCGTTTTCATACTCCATGTAAATCTCAACGATCTGGGTTTCATTTGATCGTCATTCACTGTATTACTGTTTTTAAAAATTTCAAATTTAGATTATTCAATGAAATAGGAATACGGTGTGTATAAAATACGTAGGTAATGAATACAATAATAATTATATTTAAATGGATTAATTGAAAAACAATATACTGACGGCTCAATGACCAACATCGCCATTGATATTATATTCACCCGTTAGATATTTCTACACACATTATACTTATTACAACAATAATGAATAAAAAAAGTAAAGGTTATTCGTTGTTTTCCAATTTTGCAATTATATGTAAATTGTATAATATATACCATGCATATTTTTCAATAGTATCTTTAACTCATTAACAATTTTTATTAAAAACTATAATACTTTTAAACATGAATAATTTAGTATTTTAAAAACATTATACAAGATCATAACAGTTTTTTTTTTTAGCGCATATTAGTTGTTTTCTAGGTTTTCAATTTTGTAAAACTACAAATTTGTTTTATGTATTAAGTATAATTCATACATTATTTAAAGATTTCTTATGCTATTTTCACCGTTAATGATGATAAACAAACATCTGTCTGTCTAAAGGCAATCATTAATTGTTTGGTTTCAGTAAGCTTTTTTACCTAGTTAAATATTTATTTTTGTTTAATTTATTGAAAATTGAATGGAATGCCAAAGCTTGCATTACAATGATTTATAATATATAGATTAGTTAATAGCACATTTAGACATTTGAGCCTGAATGCACATCCTTCCAAATTTATATTTACCTAATTTAACATTACTTTCAACTTTTGAACTAATTATAGTTCTAAAAAATGAATATAATATGCCTTTTAATAATGAGAAATGATAATACCATCGATTTTTTTTGACATTGTAAATCTGTTGGAGATAAATTAAGTATCCAAAGATGTGTTATAAACCTATAACCTTTCTATGATTATCTGATGTGATGCATTAATCAAGGAAATATAATCAAATAAAGTTATTCGAGTATAATTCTAATATTTTAGTTTTATTTAAGTTTGTATCTAGTATCAATTATAATATGTAGATATATAATTAAAACTATTAAAACTTATAAAGTAGACTGTAGATGAAGTATAATATAATAGTGACATATTATCCATTATTAATAATCATAATTATTTTATATTTTTTTAATGTTAATAACAAATAAGTTTTCAGTTTTAAATAAAAATATATAGGTAATAATTAAAAATAACTCATTGTAATCCATAATTAATGAATTTTATGGGGAATTTTGAGGACATTCATGAGTATAACAATTTTTTTTTACAAATAGTTTTAAGGACATATTATTTGATATTTTAATTTTAATAAAATCTAACAACTAAATTTAAAAGTAATTCTACAACTATCAAAATAAAAGGCGTAAAAATAAAATAATAAGATATTGAGATTTTAGTTATTGCACGACACATAAGATTTTTCTAAAAAAAAAAAATACAAATACAAATACAAATACAAAAACAATAAAAAAAAAACAACCATGAGTGAATAATTTCAACATTGATGGTTTGTTTAGTTATTATGTATTTATACAGTTTAACTGTCAAAGTTAAAAAATGAATGTTTACAGGATATTATTATTGACATATTGATTTTTGCAAGAAGTGGATACATTGAATTGTCTAAATGAATCCATTTCTTGAATAAAATATATATATCACGACTTATCAGACATAAAGACACCGGTATAATTAATAATTAATATTTAAATAATAATAAATAAAGTTAAAAAAATAAATTATGTAAAAAATATTTCAATCTAATAAAGATAAAATAAAAATAAATCAAACAAATTTTAGAAACCTAAATATTTTTATTTTTATTTTAGATAAACCGAGGTCTTACCAATTTTATTAAATTATGCACTTTTCATATGTCAAGTAACCTAAGCTCATTCTTATATTAAAGGGTTAATCAAAAGTTCTGAATAATTAAATAAAATTACAATTATTATTTGCTGTTTTTTTAGTTAGTATAATATAAACAGTAGGTTAGTAATCGTTTGGACTAGCCTATATCAGGCAGAATTTGTTTTGATTTTACATACCTAACAATATTATTTTTGGGCAGATTTTGATCCATTGGCCTGAAATAAAATATAAACAAAAAAAATAAAATAAACAAAACTAAAAAAAATAATAAACAAAACAAAAATATAAAAAAAAATAATAAAAAATAAATAATAAAAAAAAAAAAAAAATGTGAAAAGCCAGTTTAATTCATTATACCTGATGATATGTAAGTGTATGGAATACACAAATTAAGCAGATGAACAATCCACCTAAAGGATTGTTGCTATGTATTTTTGCTATGACAGATATAACACAATATATGTCACTACTTACTATCTACAAACTTTATACTTATAGATGGCATATTATAGTAGTTAAGGTGGAGCAGCTAGTGAGCTATTTGAATGTTACAAAATTACAAGGTACATGCTCATTAGATGATACAATATATTTATTGCACATCGATATTTTTATAAAATTATGTATACTCAGTTAGACACACACAATTGGTATCAATATCAACTGAAAAATTGTGTTGTGTGCTTTACCAGTTAAAATGTATGTAATATAGGGAAGGCTCATCTATTAGTATAAGGTTTAAGATTTTAGGTATCATAAACATATAAATCATGTATATTTTTATGCATATTATATACACAACAGATAAATGTAATTTTTTTTTTTTTGGTAATTCATGTTATAATAGTAGTTCTATGCATCGTGCAACAGCCATGCCAATTTATAGAGGTAAAAAAAAATGTGTAGGTTTACACAATTGTTATGATTTTATGATTATATACATAATAAATTTTGGGTATAACATATTCAGTACAAAACACTTTGGTGTGTTAACTTAAAAAAACAAATGTATGCCACATATCAAACAATTTATTACAAATCCAAAGACAATAACATTGGCTTAAAAATAATGTTTGTACACTAAGGAATAATTATGACTAATAATAATAATAATAATAATGATAGTAATAATAATAATAATAATAATAATATATGTATCATTTTAGTATACAGTAATAAAATATAGGCCAGAAAACGATTAAAATAATAAAATACATAATTATGCAACAGTTGTACGGGGACTAGAAAATACATAGAAAAAAAAATTATTATTGGAATTATATATATACATATTAGTATATTTATTTATAGATATAGTATATATGTATATAAGTAGTTAATTTCAATTTAGAGTCTGTAGAAATAAGTAATACATATACTATCTAGTAATCATAATATAATAAAACACAATAAGTTATGTCTTATGCAGTTAAATTAAAATTAAAATAAAATTAATATTACAAAATGCAATCAACATAAATTATGAGGTTTAAATGAGAGAGTAGGTTATTATTGATTTAACTGGACAAAAATGTAACTGTTGATTAGTCATTTGGAACAATATAAATATGTATCCATATGGAAATATACACATACACACACGCACATACACACACATATATATATATGTAGATTTATACACAAATATATAACTTTAAAAGTTTTAGATCTAAGCATGTCAACGGCGAGTAGCGGCATCCCAGCATAATTGTCTCAAAATAGTTAAGTGCCCGCCTGCCCCATTTTTGCTTGTCTTCTTCATAATTTAGTGGTAGCATGCGTGTGATATATGAATGGATATGGATGTATGATTTTTTTATTTGGTATTTTTGTTTCATATTAATGGGGAGTGGTCCTGCACACATATACACAAAAAAAGCATCGATCACAAGATGGAAAAAATGACAGAAACATAAAAAATTATATAATAATCATCTGTGCAGGGACCGTATCTGTGTGAAAGCTAGCCAATAGATTATTATGTGTTAAAATTTTTAAAAATTGTTTTGAGCACTGCCTTTTATTGAGACAATTATGCAAGGTTCGCTAATAATACATGTAAATATGCAAATCATTAAAATTATTTAATTATTGAATGATATATGGCACACAAAATTGTCCTAAATATGCTAAATAAAACTTAAAAAAAAAATATTATAATAATAATTAAGACAAGCTTTCACAAGTAAGGCCTCTGCGAGTAAAATGCAATCAATGTTAGTAATATATAATCAGTGGATTTTTTCATTAGTTTTAATTTAAAATAAAGTGGAGAAGTGGATGGATGTTAAACTGGATTAAAAATATATAGAATATTTTTAAGGTTAACATTTAAGAGTTTTTAAATCATAATGCAAGCATTAGAAATAGAGTTTAAAACAGTAATTTAAATAGGTTAAATTAATTTTAACCGCCTCACTTGTTATATAGGCCTTACAAAAATTAAATTGAATAAGTTAATCACTTAAAAAAAAAAAACTAAATTAGAGTGTAAACTTCAGGGACCTATATTTTCTTTATTTAGAAATTTATGGAATATGTTTAATCATAAGATCAAGAATTTTCAGGATTTTATAAAATATAAATTATATTTTGAGGAATAATGAATTTTCAAAAAAAAAAGAAAATAATTACACACTTACCGTTTAACAAACTTGGATGATATTTTTGAAAAGAATGATGGCCTTTGCACAGATGGATCATGTGGACTTCCAGTGTTGTTAGTAGGTCCAACGCCAGTATAACCTCTATGTCTGTTTTGACCTGAATGGAAGGTCTGACGACTAGGCACATTCCTCGGGAATGGCTGTCGGCTATTGACTGCTGGTGACGCAGGTGATACAGTAACACCCCTATATTACCAATAAGTATATTAAAATTATTTTAAACTCATGTTATTAAATATATATATACGCATACATAAACACTCACATAAGTGTGAGCGAAAAAGCTATAATCACAAAAAATTTTGACATGACAGTAAAATTAAAAAACTGATTATTATTGAAAGACATTGATAATTACAATAATATTAGTCATTAAATAAAAAAATATAGCAACTTTATATTGTTGAACGTATTTTATACATGAAAATATATATGCATTGTCTGTTTGTACTAAATGTATTTAATTTACCAACAGGACAATATTCCTATGATTAATATCGTATTACTTCATTAAAACATTTACCAGTTTTTTAATAATAATATCATTTATCATATAATTTTTATGCAATAGTTTCATTCATAAGACATCAACTTATAAGAAGCTACAAAATGACAAATAATCTTCAGAGTGAAATTGTCAATTTTTTTTTTTTCACTATTTGAAATTTATTAGTAGCAAAACAATAATACAAAATCATGCAAACCTAACTAAATCGTTAATGGTTTTAAAAGCTTTATTTTAATGTTTAATATATTAGTATTAAACAAGTGAAAATTATTAACATAGCAATGAGTATTAATTTAAATGACCATTTGTATATACACACGGTTAGTTAAAATGAAAAAAAAATATTTATGAGAGTTAGCAATCCAATTATATGGTATAATTTATGATCAACATAAATACATGCACAAATATTCAAGTCTTTTGTAATAGACAGTAGTAATATTTCCATGGAATATATATTTTGCACAATGTATAACTATCCCAAAGTAATAGGAAGCAGAGCAGAAAATTTATTTTATTTTACTAAATGAATTTTGAAAAGATTAACTCTATCCACAGAGTATTTTTGAGGAACAATATGCTCAAAAGTTTTCAAATGTTTAAAATGCGTACAATACACAACATGCATTTGATACGATCTAAAAGACGATATAACAATCTAGCCACAGTTATAAAATTATGAACGGGAGGAATACCTCGGGTGGGCAGGAGGTTCTGTGGCGTGTTCTGTGGCACTAGACACAGAGGCAGATTTGACGTGACCTTTGGATCGTGTATCTCCACATCCAGAACCAGAATTAGGTACAGCCAACGCACTAAACCCGATTACCAATGCATTGCAAACATTAATTCAAAATTATCATCTTACCACCAATAATAATGAATAGAATAAAATGAATGAACAAATGTTTATATTATTATAATAGAAGATTAATCAGTGTTAAGGAAAAACAAGATAACATTAATAAAAAGTTATTTAACATAACATTTCATTATTATAATAGTATTCATTTTAAGTGTGATTTCTGTTAAAGGTATACCTTGCTGGATCCATTACGGGAGGAGTTGATACTGCTGCTTTAGCGTCATAACTGATTGTACTCCTTCTACCCACTGACCCTCCTGGAGCCATTGACCGTTGTTTGGGTCCTAAAAATAAACAAATTACAATTATAACACGAGTGGCTTGCTAGATTTTATTGAGAAGAGTAATAAAAATCTAATCAATAATAAATAAAAAAAATACAAGCAAACATGCCTATCATATTTTCAGGTCTAGAATTTAATCGAGCTGTATTTTCTTTGATGCTAGCAGCGTCAATAGTATTTTGACGCTTGAAATTAGTACTTGGAATGGCCACATTGTGGTTGTGATTGGTTGAATTGGTGGTACCTAAAACATTAATTTATCAGAAACAATAATAATTAAGGACAACATACATTTGTTTTTATGAAACATTGCAATAATATTGTTGAATTGTGAATTCATAAATTTAAAAATGTAATATCACTAACTTGTTTTATTTGTAGAATTATGGGTTGTTTGTTGATTGTTTGACGTATTATTGGTAGCAGGAACATTGCTAGAATTTGGATGATTTGTGGTCAAAGCAGAAGTCTCACCACCAGATGAAGCCCTTCTACTAGGTTTGGAATTGGTAGCAGATATTGACCTATGTACACCTCGATGTGATGGTGATTGATTAGTATTGTTCACGGCTGCTACATTGTTGGCGTTATTTACACCAGGATTTGGTCCAGTAATTCCTCTTAAAGATAATGAACTACCAGATCGAGAACCATCACTTTCAGGCTATAAAGAATAGAAATAATAATGATTAATAAAATCAAATTTCGTTATTGAAGTATTATAATACAAATATTTACATCATTAGATTTTCTTCCTAGTAAAAGATAAGTAGCAAATATGTCATCATATTTAGCTTGAGATAAACTCTCTTCTATTTCTGCACGACTATAACCCATTCCAACTAATGTTTCTGTAACTCGACAGACTAGAATAAAACAAATAAAAAAATACTATAAATATAAATGTTAACTATATTTGAAGTAAGTAAAGACACATTAAACATGTTCATAGTTAAATAACTAATAGTGAGGCATTAGTTAGATATACCTATTCGTTTCGGTTCTTTGAAATCTGGTTCTGGTTCTACATAAGGTTTTAGTTCATCATCTTCGCAACCCAAGTTCATCCATTTATCTTTCATAATTACCTATAATATAAACAATATATTATAATTATGATTTTTGTACAACTAAGTATATCTTACCTCTAATGATGCTCTTTTAAGAGGATTTAAAACAAGGAATTTTTTCAATAAATTTTCACAATCTGTTGACATGTAAAATGGTATTCTATATTTGCCACGCAATACTCTTTCCCTTAGCTCTCTTAGAGTAGAACCATCAAAAGGCAGAGAACCGCTAACCAAAGTATATAGAATAACTCCTAATGACCAAACGTCAACTTCTGGTCCATCATAACGCTTTCCTGTAAAAAATAGTTTTTAAATGACTATTTTTATAAAAAAATATATAAATTATCTTACCTTGGAATAGTTCAGGTGCGGCATATGGAGGACTACCACAAAACGTATAAAGTTTACCACCAGGTGTAAACTCGTTACTAAATCCAAAATCTGCTATTTTTATGTTCATTTCACTATCCAGTAATAAGTTTTCAGCCTAAAACAAAAATGAAAATGTAATTATTGAAGGTATACAAACAGTAATTATTATAATTCATGATTTAGTTACCTTTAAATCTCTGTGTATGATTCTTTTTTGATGGCAGTATTGGACTGCTGAAACAATCTAAAAACACGGAGTATTTTTAACACACTTTTTTTATTCAAACAGTAATAGTATAATACGTACTTGTCTAAATTTGGCTCTTGCTTCTTTTTCTCTCATGCGCCCATGTAATACCAAATAGTCAAATACTTCACCTCCACTAGCGTATTCCATAACTAAATATAATGTTTTTTCAGTTTCTATAACTTGTAATAATTTAACTGAAAAATAACAATAAACATTATTAAATGTAAATGACTCGAAAATAATTAATGGTTAACAGAATTGGCAATATTTTCAGTTGGCATTACTCACCTATATTCGGATGGTCCAACATTTTCATAATTCTAACTTCTCTAAAAAGCTGTAAAAATAAAAATACAATAATAATAACTATGATCCAATCGTTTAATTATTTAGATAAATAAAATGAGGACGTACTTTTTGTAAACTTCCGGGTAATAATTGAGTTTTATCAATGATTTTAATCGCGACCTACAAAAAGACCATTAAGATTTCTAGTTGGCTGGTTAAACGATATTAAATATTTATTAAAATGAAATTTACCTCTTTCCCGGTAGGTACATGTTTGGCTAGTTTGACTTTGGCAAAATTGCCTTTGCCGATGGTTTTGAGCAATTTGTACTTGCCAATGTGCGGCTCTTCAGACGAACGGCTGCGAGACGATCCGCGTGTACTTGTCACAGTGGAGGCACCACTGCCTCCACCACCACCTCCAACTCCTCCTCCTCCCGTAGAACTGCTATTTGTGGCCGCATCACTGCCCTGTAAAAAACAAAGCAGAGAAAATTTGTTAACACACCATTAATATATACACGTTTCATAAATAATAAATAGAATAAAAAAATTGAAATATCGACGTATACAACACAATGCATATGATGGGTAATTTTAAAAATAACAAAAAAGTGAAGTTGCGAGGACACAGATGTACAATAGCTGATGTACCAATTATTTATATCTGTAGTAAATATAATATATAATATGATAAAAACCTAATATAGTATTACACAATATTATATACGATATAAGGAATATATTTTTCGAACAATTGCGCGTGTGATACTCATTTTATTCAGGGTTTTTTTTTTTTTTGTTTCACATTCCACCACCAGAACGTCGGCCCATTTTCGAACGCGATTTTCCCCGTTTTGACGTAGTTATCGTATAAATATAATTTTCCGCAGTCGTGTACGATCGGAGAGAAAAGAAAAGTGAAAGCGTTGCGGTAGAACACAACCTAACCAGCTATAAAACTCAGCACTTCGTAGGTAAACACGACCCACCGAACACTCAAAAGAATTACAAAAATACGCTTGTCCGGACACGCACACGTGTCGGTTGCAAACGTATTAAATTGCGTCACATACGCGAAAATTCGATACGGAGGAAAACTGATCTCAACCATAGTCGACAGTTCTTGTGAGTTGTGGCCGGTATTAGGAAATCGGTTTCGACACGCCACGGCTGCTGAACTGTATGACAGAAAAAAAAAACAAAACATTGGACTATTGCTACTCAACCTAACTATATTTGGTTATGTTTATCGTATTGCGTAATTGTGAAGTGACGTAGGTATAATATATTTAGGTATTAGTTATACAAAGATGATTAGACATTTCGCACGTTTAGTCTTGAAATAAACTTAAATATGATTTGACCTTTGTCGGACGATTTTATAACAATATTTTGGTCCGTGAATACTATATAATATTATAGTATAACAAAAAATGTGGAAAACATGACACAATGACTCCAATGGAAAACCGCTTAAAATTTAAAAAATATATTATTACCTAACTTATTGCAATATTGTTTTTATTTTTACATTTTTGCAATATGTTTCGGAAAGGTAAAATACCTTTTGGAATGAAAAAAATCAAGGTGTAGTGGTATTAAAAGATAGTCAAATATGTTATTGTAAGTCATTAGTGTAAAATAATGCAAAATAGGAGGAGGTCCTCCAAAACTCATCTTAAGTCTCTTTGTATCTAATTATTCATTCGAACGCAAAATTTAATGATATGATTTGCACGCGATAGTAACGGAATAACTCGTCACACCACCGTTACCGAATGTCACCATAGGGGGCACAACATCCGCAACAGTTAAAAAAAAAAACAGTAATTCGACATCGTCGCAAGTAGAGGTCGTATAAATACGGCTCTGAACTTGTCACGTTTTCGTTTCATGTACCTATGATGATGCGACAAATAACTATTGTACGAATTCCGTTAATAATACATTCATATCATTTTTATTTACGCAACGATCGGCCGGAAGAGCAGAGAAATCGTTGTTAGCGGAGAAGTTAAATTGGTATACTATTGTTTTTTTATCGCTACGCCACCGAATGAAATGTATCACCCAGCCATCTGGTGACTCTGTTTTACCAGTTGTACTCGGTTATTTTGATAAACGGTTATTTAAAAAAAAATAATAATAAAATATTATAATAAATAATATATAATTAATGCATGATTTTATAGTAAATAAACAAGACAATCCTTAAAGTCGCACATTTTATTTATATTTTTTCATAAAAACCATACGTCAAATATTTTTAAACAATATTTTAAAATAAGCTTGTACAGCATTTGTAAAATAGAGACACGCATTTGAAATAATGCAATTCAATACAGCGAACACATATTATGCTAGGACATGATTATAATAGGTAATAATATGGGTAAAGAAACACAATGTCAACAAAGGAGCATTTATCTTTTTTCTATTCAAATATAAATGACATACCTACTAGACATAAACGTTAACTTGAGATTTTGTTATATATAGAGAAATATCGATGATGAATAACGAATTTCTAGATTAAAGTTTGCTGACGGTGGCAATAGGTGATATACTTTTTTACGGCTCGGTGGCGGGGTGGCGGCCGTCACAAACAAGATGTAACACAATAATAAATGATGGATAAATATTTATTCAAGGAATATACAATTGAAACGTATGAAAAAATAGAGATAAACATCGGAAACGCCATACGACTAACCAATCCATTATTCTCGTTTTCCGCCGAAAAAAATAAAATGAAATGTCATTTAAAAATACCATTTTCGATGAATAGGTAAACGATGAGATGACGTACAAGCAGCATAGAAGCATTACTACATTATAATAGGTACTGTATAACATATTCCTCTTCAAATTGGCGGCAGTCGCCAAGTCACATTGTGTTTCGCCTACTTAAATATTTTTCTTTTTGTTATAGTCACGCGAAAACGTCTTTCGACCAACTTTCCGTGAACAATAATAATAATAATAGTAATAATAACAATTATTATTATTATTCAGTATCATCGAGATACACACAATACACGATGACGACATACGCCTAACCTTATCCTGTGCCTACACCGTAGGCAGAAACGGGTTAGGTAGGGGTCTTTTGTCCGCCGAGAACGATATTATTATTATTACAACGACTCGAACACAATGATTGGAACGGCCAAGCCGACACACGGGGAAAACGATCTCCGGAAAACAGCGGGGCTGCCGATCGAGCGTTTCGTGTGTGTTTGTACATACCACACACGGATATTACGATCATTATATAATTACAATCGTTATTATGCGTTGGAAATTTGGAACGGTCGAGTAAAATCGCGTAACGTTACGGCACATCGATACACTACGGTCGGTGTCATGATAATTAAAATATTAAACACATTATGTCATCGCGGTAATCTCGCGGTTGTATCTGAATACGCGTGTACACGGTTTTATGTTTTTTCATACACATTTTCGAGGCTATAGACGCGATATAGTGTATCGCACTAGCCGTAGCAATTCATAACACTATACTCGGCGGGGCAACGAAAGTAATCCGACTATCCGACACCGGCTATGGTGATATTATTATGATGACGAATAATTGTGGTAAAACGCGCTGCAAATTATTGGTAATAGTAATATTATTATGTAGGTACGCGGCACACGGTTACGACACACGCCGTAGCAATCGACAAATGAGGTAATAACGATATTTAGGAACATTATTTTAACGTTCTTACAAGCCCGGTACGCCGAGCCATAGACTTGTCGACGAGAAGTAGAGTCACGGTGGTCACAGTGGCCAGTTACAACGTAAACGATGCCAAATTCAAATACCTCCACTTCCCCCCCCCCCCCCATCATCACCGTGGATAATATCGAAGGTATTAACTAGATAAAAGGTTTAACTTGGCTATATAATTTAATTGACTGTTGTAAAAACTTGGCTTTTTTCAATTGATTTAAAAATAATCCAACGAGTTAAAATTAAATGTGCTTTTGACATTTTTGGTTTTATTTATACGTTAACTACTGTGTTAGGTAACACAGCTTTAAATAAAAATGATCTAATACTCTCATGATGGTAGTAACTGATAACTATTATTTCTTGTATATTTCTTGATAAAATAATAAAATACATATTTAACATGTATAGGCATAAAATACTCTTTATGAGATCCACATACTAATTAAAAAAACTGATTGACTATTTTTAAACTAAGTTAATAATTTTTTTTTCCATAATATCAACTTATATATACCATATGTCATTTTTAGATAATAAATAAATTAATAGGACATGACCGTAAGAATGACAGAAGAGGCGATGACCCCGGAATCGTGTTCAAACTGAGACCAATTATCGATTTTGCGATTGTTGATAAGCATGGAATATATTATTACAATAAATGTATCACGGGGATAAGAAACAAATCGCCCGAATTTCAGCCTATCATTTGAACCAAACTTTGAACCCATAAACATTTGATATTTTCCACGGTCGTTTCGTGCGAGTACTACTGTATGCATGGCTTAGATCCCTATTCACTTTGACAGATCGCTAGATGATTTCCACCCTCATTAATTTACATCGAATGGATCGACAAAACAGAAATCAATTAGTTATTATAAAGACGTATAATAATTTATTGTAACCGTACGCGATTCGATTTTCAAACATTTATTTTAGATCGGAATAACGAGCCATTTCGAAAGGCCGCGTTCGGGACGAAATAATCGTCGATCGGACGGGTATTGATGGCGAAGGCGATGTTCTATATACGAATATTACACGTTGTGCACACACGTCCTATCGATTTGTTTAGATTGCAGTCGGGTAAAAATAATAAAATTAGTCATGGCAGTAAGCGACCGTGTATTATGCATCGCACGACGTCACGAGTCGGACGACAAACGACTACGTCTTTTTATGGATATGTTAATGAATCACACAGCGTTCTTTACGGGGAGCTTACGCACGACGAGCCGGGTAAATACGTATTAGAGTATTATACTCTGGTCGTCGACAAAACGGACACGCGGCGACGAATAAATAAAAACACGGTATATTGTAGATATGGTTATGAGAAGCTCGATAAAACGCGTCAATCCGACGTCTTGAGTATACATCATAGCAGAGATGGGCCGCGTCAGCATACATAGAGGGAGGTAGGAGGTGTATAATATTATATATAAATGTATATTATACATTATAATAATATTACTGTTGCAGAGTCTTTCGATGCGTGAAAGTCTCAAGTAATTTCCAACGGTTCGACGAACCGGTTACGGTTGTTTTTCGACGTAACGCGAGCGTTGTTTTTTATTTGTTTAATTGTACCTATTTATATATGTTTTTATTATTATTATTTGGGGATATCACTAATATAATATTATTTACAACGCTGCGGTAGAGAAACCGAATATTATTTTAATAAACACCGCTGATGGTAAGTGAAAAATAAGTATCGGTA